GCGGTGGATTCATCTGAGTCTTTTTTTTTTGTGTGTGTCTGTGCAATAAAGCGTTTTAAATTTGGCAAAAGAAGATGCCGACGCACTGGACCAGTGCTTAGAAGAAAAAAAAGAAGAAATAAAATCTGCGCATGGGAGCCGCAGGAGGAAGTGATGCGTCGCTGGTATGTAAATCGCAAAAGACGCGTGCTGTAAACACCCAGATTGGGGACCACCTGCCGGGGGAAGTGATGAAGGCAAAAACAGTCAAGGACACGGGAATTATGCTCCTGCGTCTCTGGCGGCGCAAACCAAACGCGGTGCTCCAATTAAGCTACGGTAACAACGGCAGTCGTCAACCTCCGTTACTCCGATTTCTAAACCTGGAGCTCGCAGGTACCGGGCACGTTACCAGAAAGGAGTCGACGCGAGCCGATAAAGCGTCTCTGATCTCCTGACAGAATGCCAGCAGAGTGAGTCACGTCTCCATAACTTGTTCATTCAGAAGTCATGCTGAGAGGAGACCGAAGGGTCATATTAAAGAGTCCTCATGCTTCTAGATGCACACAGCAAACAATGGTCCCTTAACATTATTTATATTGGCGATTGAACTCTTCTAATAATCATAGTCTTTTCTGTAAACGGCATAATCGCAGACTACGTATTTACGTATGTACACAAGGCCGATGAATGCTAACGGAGGATGTCAGCCGCCTCTTGGCTCGCACGAAAATTAAATGGGTTGTGAAATGACACATTTCGCCGGAGTGCCTTTCTCGAGGGTGCGGCACCTTCCCGGAGCACGAGCCGCCAATCATCCGGCTGCCCCGCTGAGTTTTAGTTTCCAAGGTTCCCAAAGGGCACGGCAGAGCCGCGGTAACGGCTCCGCCCACGCCTGACCGTAATTAGCCCTCTCTCCCCTCCGAACGGCGGTGTTGGTGCCAATTAGCGGACATCTCACTCCGCTCTCTGTCCTAAGGGGCACATGGACATTAACACTGCGTTGACCTTGTATCGAATTAGTGGTTCTGTGGGTCAGTTAAGAAAAACACTCACACACGCTGGAGAAAGGAGCAATAAACTAATGTATTTTTGATTACACTTTGGGGACAGATGTGCGTGCCCAAGCTTTCATTTAACCGACGACACCGTGATGGTGTGGCTATTAAGACAGTTAGCGGTAGCAAAGCTAACAGTGCGCTGTGGTGATTATCCTGGCTGCTCTGTCAATGGTGTGGAAAACAAATGAGCGGAATAGCAGTAAATATTCACAGGAGGCTACAATGACAGTCGTGAGCAGAGCTGTCACATGTCCAGACCCCCGGAAATTACTTTGGAAGGGTTGCGTCGGAGAAGGGGGATTTGTAGGCTTCTTTTTATGTGAACCGAGTTCTCATTTTTTTGTCGGGGGGGGGGAGGGTAAAAGAGATGAAGGTGCTTTAATAACGGGGGCAGCAGATATACTTTCTGTCTCCATTTGTCACTTTTTTGTCAATATTTCACACTTCTGGAGAAGAAAAATGGCAGTAGCACAGACGAATGGGCATCTTTGAATGAGTGTCGTCGTGCAGCACTTCCCGACTCAAAAGGGTATGCCATTTATTATCGTGTTACAAAGGCGTGTGATCATGAGTGTGCATGCAAGCCGCACGTTTCTGTAAACGCGTCCCTTTCGAGAGGTTCGGATTTAGCACCATGAGAGCATGAAGCTCTTTTAAACATCCTCATTCATCTCACTGCCCGCTCGATGATGTCACGCACGCCACCTGAGACGCGGTGTGGGGCCGCACCGCACGCGTCAGAAGCAGAGCTGTGTGGCGGAGGGTTTCCGTGAGGCCGTGTCGCAATGCATGCTGGGGGTTTCCATGGGCAGCCTGCAGCGGGACTTACGGTGCCTCTGTAAATATTAATAATCTGTGCATTTCATATATCGGTAAATGTCAGCCGGACCGATGCCAATAAACAGCTAGCGGTCTGTGGCGCCGTGGCCCCTCCATGGTCCTGAATGACACGGACTCAGTGCTTATTAGGTTTCAGACAGCAGACAGTCCTGTGGCCATGAAGCCATTATTTCAGGTCATTTGCTTGGACGGTCTCGCAAATCCCCTCGGGATTTAAGGCGGCGCGGTAACATTGAGGTTGAACGCCGCAACGGAAGAAAAACCGCATCGTAATGCCGGGGCAGTGGAGATCAAAGTGCTTACAGCACCGCTACTCGCTCCGCGAGGTCAGCGCCTCCCTGCGGTGACAGGAAGGGTCCGGCGGTGAGTAGCATTCGACCATGACCCTGTCGCCTCAGAGTTTGGACGTCGTGCTGCCACTTAACTAATAACCTGCTGACTGCGCTGTCGCAGCTCAACGTGGACGAGTCGTCTCCTTGGCCGCGCTGCAGCACACACATGTCACCCGCGTGTCGCGCTGGCTCACGTGAGCAGCACCAGACACAGCAGACCCCCCGCCGCGTTAGCCGAATCGATAGCATCACACGGGCATTTATATCTGCCCTTCCCTGCCCTTGACCATGCCCACAGCACTCACGGACCCCAGAATATCCCATCGAGCCGCCCCTCACATCTGCGAGCCTCACGCAGAGTCACGAATGAGCGGGCGGCTGTGAGACCGTAATATTCTCGTTGGGCTCCGCTGTCTCGTTGCGGTGAGACAGTAGAGTCTGGATGCAGTCCAGATTCTCTCTAACGAGGCAGTCATTCGGTAACGAGGATAATAGACAGACCTCCTGGTAAGACTGAAAAATGAAAGTACTACCACACATGGCCATGTGGATATGAACACAAGTACGAAATGGTGGTCGAGCAGGAATTTTGCTAAGCTTACCGCGCCAAGTAAAACATTTAAATACTCGCGTTAAGATCAATTGCGTTCCCAGACTCTTAAATTATTCATGTTGCCTCCTTAGAAATTCTACATGTATTATTTAGATGTATATAATCTTATTTTAACAATTAATCAAGAGCTCGGTCACGTCAACCTGAAGGAATTTCATGCACAAAGGCTCTTCATCATGTAAAAAAAAACAGAAAACACATTTACAGCAAACAAATTGGTTCTACATTCTGTCGCACAATAGACACGAGATACCATCGGGTAATCAGAGGAGTGGTGCGCGCAACATAATTGTGTCCATTCTCAGCCAGGGCTTGTGGGCGCCCCTTGAACAAGTGCTTTTGTTTCAGCAGGGGAGGGAGTCAGCGCAGCTGAAGGTGGGGGGGGGGGGCAAAGAAGGGAGTCCTCTTTCAGGCGATCTGGAGAGGGTCCTTTGTAATCTACGTCCTCCACGTCGGGGATCAGTTTTATGTAAATGCCCCGCATGGAGACGTATCGCATCTCTGCGCGTGCCGACTGCCCCCTCAGCGTCTCCGTGCTGCAGGAATGCGAGGAAGCAGCGCATTATTCACTCTAAATGAGGGCAGGACCTTGAAGTATTCCCAGAATCTTAAATCTGTTTTTCCCTGGATTTACAGCTTCTTCCCTTCGTATCGCCAGCCTGCGTGCCGTAAACACAAATTAAACACAAAACACTCTGTGTTTTTATTCATTTTGTTAAAGGAGTCCGCTAAGTGGCTTTTATGGGACGAGTCTTTTTCTGTGGAGATTCTTCCGGAGCTCCCTTCGAGGAAGCTAATTGGCGGAGTTGTTCGCCTGTCCCTTTAATTCACTCCCCGCCATAATGAAGGACGTTCTGTCTCCACAGCGCTCCTGTTGTCAGCCGCTACAGCCAGCCTACTCGCCTCTCACAGCCCATCGGCCCCGAGTCGGGCGATTTCATTCTCATTTTTCCACCCACAGCAGCAGACTGACCTCTGACCACGCTCTCTGACTCCTTCGATCGTTCAATTTAATCTGAGTCCTCCAGTACTCATGCCCCCATACAGATCTAATGTGGCAAAGTATACTCTGGTCCACAGGATTGAAAAAGTTGCCTTCCTAACACCGTGGCTTTAACATATCCCTCAACACGGGATTTTAGCCTTAAACAGCCTGAAGAACTGATCCATTAGTCGCTCACCCTACCATAACTCTTCCTGTTATTTCCCAGCAGCACCATTAATCAGTATCTACTTCTTCACCTTGCAGTCACACCCTCTGCTCTCGCAAACGGAAATATGCCCGTAAGACTCGCCTCCCTCGGGATGAGGCGGACAGGTGCACGGGGCATGGCGACGGAGAACAGGGCGGGCAATTCATTGGGACTTTATAATATAATTTTTGTATCGCAGACGTTGAGAACAAAAGATGGCTGTTTCTCCTAACGGGAAGAAGGAGAGGAAACCAAACCGATGAGGAGACGCGTGACCGGGTCTGGCTCTGGGGGAGAAAGAGAAAATACGGGACTTATATATCACGAGGGAAATGGCAGCAGGTCACCTGACTTCACGTCCCATCCCCCCCCCCAGATGAAATGTATATTAGTCACTGGCACACATACGACGATTTCTGATCAGGAGTAAATAGAGGGGAATAACCACAGGGGCACTGGCTCCAGCTGAAAGCTGATTGGCCCTTGGAGTGCTCCCTCCCCTGTCACCCACTAAGGCTGGTGGAGGCTCCTCTGAAGCTCCGAGCAGGTACTACACGAGATATGAGGTGTACATAGTACTACTAGCTGACGTTAGACTACTCCTCCATGAAACACTGGGTACTTGCTATGGGTATTTCATATCAGTACTTGCTATGGTTATTTCATATCAGTACTTGCTATGGGTACTTGCTATGAATACTTGATATGGGTACTTGCTATGGGTCTCCCTTCATATCACTGTCTACTGTAAGTCTTCAACAGACCCATAGTCTAACTGTATCTGAGTCTTACACGACGTCATCAGCTATGTCCAGCGATGGTCTGGTGATCAATATTTTCTGGGTGGAAGTAAAGCAATTACTTGATCCACCCCAATAAAAACATGCCGTACATAATAACGCTGTGGACGCCGTCCTCTGCGGCCTCTTAGCCAGCCTCTGCCGTGCACCGTGATCCACGTTTGCTTTCTTCTTTATTCCAGCTCGCTGGCTTCATCTACGCCTGTTACGTGGTGAAGCTCATCTCAGAAGAAGAGGACAGCTGTGAGTATCAGTCGCCAGGATCAGTCCACAGATTCTCCCTGTATGCCAATATAACCCTAAACCTAACCCTAAACCTAACCCTAAACCTAACCCTCTTCTCGCAGTTTAGTCTTAAACGTGAGATGCAAAATAAGCTGTATGTTCCTTTCTCAGTCATGTAGGTGGCATAGCGGTTCAGTGGGTGACAGCAAGACGACACCCACTGTGTGCGTGTGGACTGGCATCCCGTCTAAAGTGTACCCCACCCCTGCGTACTATGCATACTGTGTAATTTTATTCTGTGCCATGCTTAGGATAGACTGTCTCACTGCAGTTCCTACAACCCTGACCGGGATAAGCTGTTGGAAGATAGATGGATAGATGTATTAATAACCACACCTTAGATAAAGTTATTATAATATCTATCCGTCTCGCTAATGTTTGCTCCGGTACAGGTCTGCGCCGCACCATCATCCTGAAATGCAACACTAATGTAGCAAAGTTACAGCATAGGAGCTAAATTTCAGGTTTGACACAGCATTTTTTTTCCAGAGGCTGCTTAAGAGACTGCCTGCTTTTATTGGGATGCATTATCGATGTCGACCGCCTTCAGCGTTTTGTAACTCTTACCTGTGGAAGGCTCTGGAAAAGCAGCCGGTGGCTGCGAGATGCATAAGCAAATAGGAGCAGCATGCCAAATCAATACCATCCTCCTTTCTGCTATCTCTCTGCCCCCCCCCCATTTGTTGCGAAGGGAGGGATGTCTGCATATCAAATATAATTGATTGACTGCTGCGGGTCCCTGAGGTTTTATTTCGATTACTTTTCCCTTTGAAAATGTAGTTTTATTGTGCCTAAGCCATACGGGGAAAAAGTCTGTTTCATAATCACAGCCATTAACGATCCTGTTTGAATACATTTAGACACACCCTCATTCCCAGGCAGGGCTGCAGTAGGGGCCAGGATGCCCTGGCAGATTCTGGGGGGCCAATACTTCACAGGGGCCCTTGAATATATAAATTTATATGGAAATATTGGGTAGGGGTGCTCAAGGTGATATTTTGTCAGGGGGCCCCGAATTTTTAGCCAAGCCCCTGTTCCCGGGTGATCATTCTCGGTGTCAAGCTCTCTCTGATAGAAAATAGACTCTCTTGATAGAGATGCCATTTTTCTCGTTGGGATCAAGAGCCTGGTTAACGTCGCCCTGCAGATTGGTCCATTTCGTCAGAGAGAATGAGATTTGTCCTGGGGAGCCGTTTGTTTGTCTTGCAAGTGGACAGCGCGAACTGAGCTGTGTCACCACAGTGCGACTAGCCGGGCCTACTGGCGGAAGCGAGAACATAATTCCTGTACCGTATGACCACGGCTCTCTGCCAATAGGAATGTGCTGACCGATGCCGGGTCTTCCCCTATTGGCTAAAGCTTAAAGCAGGGATGTTGGGCAAGCTGAGTGTTTTTTTTTTCACTAGCAGAAGATTAAGGCCCATTAAAATAGAATTACAGTTTAATTAGACTGTGTCGACCTGTCATGTTTATTATGTACGGCAAAACTGAATAAATACTTCCACTTAAGCAGTACAGAAAAACAGTAGTGGCAGGTGATTTTTTTAGTTTGATCTTTCGTAGAGGAACTCAAAGATGCTACTTAATTTGAGCAAATAGAGTGATGATATTCTGGAATTGCTGACCTTTCCTTTTCTGGTTAAGAAACACATTGATGATGCAATCCCCAATGCATACAGAGACCCTAAGCTAAATGCTGTATTAGCCATTACTGCAGTAATTAATACAGTGCATGGAACACCTCGATGTAGGTAATGGAGATCACAAGCGCCCTCATGCTGTGATTATACTTAACATCAAGGCTAATGTCCCCAGCTCCACTTATTGAAGGACTGTTTGGGCTTTAGATAAATCAAAGCGCCGTATTGGAGCTGAACAAGATGAAAGGAACTGGGTCTTCCATCAATCAGGGTGGGGACCAAGAGAAATGTCTTCTTCAGGAATCTCCACCAGGTCAGGAAGCCTTGGAGGACAAGCAGGGCCACCACCACCTTTATGTACGGCGCTGTACATATCGGCGGCCTTTGACCATTTCGGCATCTTTTAGGATGAATTTGTGACATGCAGCTCGGCTAATCAAGGATCAGTTTTAAGACCAACAATGAGCTAAAGTCAGGCTTGCTTGTCAAATGTCGCAGCAGAGCTGTACTGATGGGTTACACAGGTACACATTATATGCCCTCCTCTAGTAGGATTAATTTACTGTATACCCACCCTAAAATTGTCTGGAGAAGTATGTACACACAATTATACAGTATAGCAGTATACCCACCTACAAATACACTCCTATACTGCCAATATATGTTCCAATACTGGAACCAACACGCACTAGGTCCTCATGTAATCCAAAAGAGAACTCTTATTAAATTTCCAAAACTCACAAAATCCACACAAGTGTTCCCCAAAACATATCCCGAGGACTGAGTGAGTCTTGGAAGTTTGCTGTCCAGTTGGCATCCGTGGAATGTGTGCAGGCGTGTGCCCAGTGATGGACTGGCACCTGAAACAGGAGTACCCCCACCTTGTGCCCTGTTCGTTTAGGCTCCTGCAGTCCCCCAGCCCCCGTCCAGGATAAGCAGCTATAAGATAAAAGTGTGAAATCAGGAAACTCTTGCAGAAGCAGAGCATGTTGTACAGTAATTATAAGATTATGAAGTCTAGTGATAAGCGGGTCTCAGATGCAGGGGTAGGGAGGATGAGTGAGTCCCTGTGGGAGCTAAAATGGGGTTGGGGGGGTGGGATATCCCTCCTGCAAACTCTCATTATGACAATTATCAGCCGCTGCCAGTACACACCAATCAGCTGATCCGCTTTAATCTAGCCGGCAATTTTCTTCTGATTTCCAGCAAAAGTGGTCGACTATCTCGTGCTCTGCTGCCGTGGATTTGTGTGTGTAGCGCACAGATATGGAGGCCTTCTCAGGCCCAGAATGCCCCCGTGGAGAACCGAGTCATAATCTTGTTGTTATTTTCACACGATTTGCTAATCCGGACCGGCGACTTTTCCCGCCGGGCGTCCGTGTGGATATGTATCGCATCCGCATCCTGTCCACGCCCTCCCAGCCACAGCAGACCGGCTATTGGTCACCTCCGGCCCAGGAATGCCACACAGGCAAGATGACGGTATTTACTAATCACTCGCTCATGCTGTTCTCTTGTCTCCCTCATCCAGTCGACTTTATAGGAGGGTTCGACTCCTATGGTTATCAGGGGCCGCAGAAGACGTCACACTTGCAGCTCCAGCCTATGTACATGTGAGTACTGCCACAGAGACCACGCCTGTGCTGCAGCTGGCTTAGGTCATCGGGTGGATGAAGCGCAGCTCTGTGTTGAGGTGTGGGGGGGGGGGCGATGTGTGAAATAAAGCCTGGAGGCTGGCATCATTCTCAAAGGGGTCATGGGGTGGGCGATGGCACAAGTTGCCTTTTGAGGGGGTCTGTTCGGGGTTTGCACACAGATCGCACTCAGGAATGCAGGGTGGGGGGGGGGGGCGTTGTTGGTCTTAGCCGACTGTCCCTTGCTGCCGATGATGGAGTGCCGCACTATTCCTTCAGCCTCCCTGTGCATGCGGCCCGGTGCAGAGCACAGAGAGGGAAGGAACTACAGCAGGGGTGGGGTAATTCGGTAAATAACATTCTCCACCATGACCTATGATTATGGTCTCATTTTACCTCGCTTTACCTCATATGGTGAGCTTATTTAGCCACACGAACCCCTCAACAGCTTCCCAGATCTCATTCAGCTGAGTGACATATGACCTGGGGGGGGTTTGCGTTTCCCGGAAACACCTGGCAGGAAGCCAAGGTGGCTCCGGGACTCGGCGGACCAGGACAGTGAGGACGGGGAGGACGGGGAGGACGGGAGACACCGGCGCCTTTTGGGCTGATTTCTCATCTCCTTGGCCTACTTTGGCTGGGGTGAGAAGACGACGAGTGCTGGACAGTGGGGCAGTCCGAGCAGAAACCTCACATACCCAAAATGTTCCGGATGCTGCGAATCCTGGAAATATCGCCGGCTTTCTTTCTTTTTCTTTTTTTTTGCTTTCCTGACCGGCTTTTGTCAGCTTGTATTGTTTCCCGCTTGGGTACCGTGAGAAACGGAGAAATTCGCCTTTAAATCTCCTACTGTCTCAAATGTAAATGTGCGGTAAAGACCGATCATGTGTGCAGATTACGAAAGCAAATTAAAACAGGTGGGATGATGAAATTGCTGTGAAGACCTGATTGGTAGATACATAGTGCGGTTATGAATGGTTATTCACAGCAAGGCTCTTTGTCTCTCTTTCTCTAAGTGGCGAAAGCTTCTCCTCACTGCTTACAGTGATTTTCTCCTCTGCTTTGTTATTCATTTTTATGTATTATATATTTATTGCAATTTTGATGCATCACTGACTCTGATTTTTGTGTTTTTCTGTTTCCTTCTAGGTCAAAGTAAACAGGACAACTGCCTTACGAACACATCAGATAGAAATGTCTCCTTTTCTTTCTTCTTTCTTAATTGTCTTAAATAATAGTGTCTTATAAAATTGACTGGAAAGAAGAGAACGTTTTCCGTCCTCGGAAAGCGAAATGAACGCAGTGGATTTTTCTTTCTTGCTGGCCAGCCGACGCTCGGCAGAGTGACTGGAGAGACTCTGGCTGACACGCGGGGGAGGCTGGCGGCAGATGCGAGAGCGCCCCCATGTGGCCACATCCTTCCGGCTCTTCACGAAGCTGCGCTGACGGCTCTCCCTTCACGTCTGACCGAAGAATGAATACCGTACGTTATGAAGGCAGCGACGTCACGCCGATGTCAACCAACCTCGCTTAAAAAGATAGAAAATGAGCAAAAAAGAAAAAAAAACGTCTGCAACTGAGCCATGTACTAAAAACGATGTTGTCACCTGGGTGCTTGGAGTCTGTCGATTACAGTGATTAGAAAACGGTCTTCTCTAAATGAATGTCCTTTACGTCATCGATACACCTTCAGATTTATTAAGACAGTACCCCTGGCTTCTTAAGAAAAGAAAAGGTTCGATAGAAGATATTGATTTGTAAAAGCATTTTATTTCCTGTGTGTTTACATATGGCTGGTCCTCGTATCTTGGGCAGAATGATGTCAAACTCTGGCCCAAAGAAAAGGGAAAACATTGATCAGGTGATAGAAAGGTGACAACAAGCTTCTCCTTTCTTGTGACGTTTTTCCTGAAAGTGCCAAGAACTATAAAAAAAAATAATAATTAAATTAAATGGACTAGACATAATTTGGATGTTTCCTTGTAGTAGGGAATATTTTTTAAAATACTAGCAGGAGTCATTTAAACTAAATATCTTTGTAGTTTTAGTTGACTTATTTTATAGAGATTTTTTTATACTGTCCACACAAAAGCATTATGGAATAACTTTTCTGTGTTATTTTGTTTCGTGCATATTTGCGTTTTTTTTTTTTTTTTTTTAGAAATACGTTGCTTATTGGAAGAAAATGGTAACTTTATTTAAAATAATCAATGAAAGTGCGTCAGAGCTTCCGTAAGGCATCCCCGAATCCTGTCAAACGACGTCGCGAACCAAACTCGGGACCCAGCGCTATTTTATACTGTATCGCCTACGACAGTGTTTCCTTTTCTAGTTGGGTAGTAGTTCGTTGCGTTCGCCAGAAGAGGGCGCTTTATTCTTTCCTTCCTCTTTTACTAGTTGTACAGATGTACAATAGCAGCCTGGGCAGGGGTAAATCACGGCTAGCGTGGTGAACGAGAGCCGAGGTGCACGCTAGAGTTTGTGCTGTGACTGAAATGTTGTGCTTTGTGTAGTGGACATGTCCTCGCATCCCGGAGATAGGGCCCATGTGTCTGTAGCAATACGGCGGGATTCCCCTACTTGTGGGGTCCTCCCACTAGGGGGCGCTAGAGGAGCTGAGATCGGCTCTCTCGCACCCAAGTCCTGACAGCCGTTGTATAAAGCGTCGATCTGGCAACAGCGGTAAATTAACACTTTCTTTAAATGCTCGCTGTCCTCCAGGTAAATGAATCCCCTCCACCCCTACTCTGTTCAAGTCAGTCGCTCCTAATTAACTCCTTTAAATCACACATGGATGTTTAAATGGATCCTCTCAGGCCCAGAATATTATGTGTGCGATGAGATTAGTTACGGCCCCAGGTTAACTATGGTGAACGGGGACTTCGAGCAAAAAAATACTAAATCACTCCCTATATTTAATTTAAAAACGGATAATTAAAAATGTACATATATACATCCAGTCAGCATAAATCTCTTACTGAGTAACGGTGCTGCGAAAATCCAGTAAGTGATCGCAGACAATAAAGGTAAGTGCGTAAATGCAGCTGAGTCTGGGAACGCCTGAATTCTGCAGGGAGACCGGCAATGAATTAGCCAAACACATCCAGGCAGGGCGACCGCCTTGTGGGCGCACGACACGGGCCACCAATGAGGAGTTCCACTTTAATTGATTTGCTCATCCTTGGGAAATTCGGTTTGACCTTGTTCCAACATCACTCGCCTGGTGGCATACGCCGAGGTTTGGGGACAAACAGCTAAAAACAATTCATAAAGCAGTTATCTGAAGTCAATCCTAAAAAAGACATATAAATCATCAATTTAGGGACCTTCTCCAGTCCCCCCCCCCTTGTTTATTATGGTACGGTCTGGCAGTGGGGCAGTAAATCAGAAATAACAAGACTACGTTGGACACGGCGCGCACTCTAAATCCGCCCCCCGAGCTTATCAAGGTCAAACGCCGGTGCCGATCCCTCTCCGCTTATTGCTCCAACACCCCCACTCTTATCAGCGCCTTAGCACACGGGCTCTCCCCGCCACACCGATTCCCAGGACCCCCTTTTGGCAGGAAGCCGAGCCAGGCGGCCCGTTCGAGGAGATCCCTGAGGGCATCCGCAGATACACCATCCGCCACACGGTACCCTGGCGTGACCCCCCCCCCCCCCGTGTCCTGCCCACTTGGTGCTCATGTCACACACCATCTCGGCCCCGTCCATGTGACTTAAAGTGTGGAGCCACCTGCTAAAGCTGGTGCACCATGGCTCTTTGGGCACGTGCACGAGGACCCTGTCCCGGTGACGGTGGCGGATGTCCTGTCATCGTTCTCCCCGCCACTCTATACTTAATAATTATTCCAGGTTGTATATAGGTCACTGAAATCTCTACCGGTTCAGATATTTTTTTTGGTATATTCAAGGTGTCGTACGGACCCGATTTTCCAATGCATTTGGCGGACAGTATCTATTTACATTTAAAGAAAGGCTTGTTACACGCTGTTGCAGGTTATTTCTGTCTAGAAGCTTCATTGAACAACAACGTCAGTTTTCTCGCTTGGGATCAGTGCTGACTTCTATTTTTAAATTAGTTTGAGCTATTTTCTATTTCTGTTCCTTTTTAAAATGATTGTAAATATAATAAACTCAAACTGTGGGAAGGCACGCAGGCGCGTGTTTGTGCTTTTGTCCCTGATTAGCGCTTGTGTTTCCATACTTTCTTCCCCGCTTAACATCTGCAACCTCCCTGTGACAGCGGTAATTTCCTGCGTTGTTCACCATGACAGCTTGATTGTGCCTCAGTAGACTTTGACAACAGCTCTTGTACACTCAGTATATTATATTTGAGCGGAATATTTATTTTATTCATATATTTTGAAATATGCGGTCACATATTTAGCACGCATCTACTATACACTAGTAAAAAGGCTTCTTATCTGTGGTTAATCTCATGATGAACACAAAAGGGAGACGGAGATAAAATTCAAATTCATCAACTTACTGCAGTTATATCTTGACATTCTAGACCAGTGTTTCCCAATCCGGTCCTCGGGGACCCTTGGCCAGTCCACATTTTCGCTCCCTCCTGGCTCCCAGTACCTGTTCTCTGGCAGGAAGCTTAGTGGGAGCGAAAACATGCTCTAGACACATCTCAACATAGTTTGTGGTACAAAGACCAGCACACATGGCTGTGATATCTCCTCACGTCAGCGCCTGAGCGAAATGTGATTTGACCAAACCGTGCTGAACTGTACAGGCTAGACTTAATTTAATTTAGCCTTTTGCGAGATAAACGTGGTGCCCTGGGATTTGGGGCCTTTCGCTTTTAGTCGCCGATGACGTCCTTCGATAAATGGCTCACCGGTCGTGTGATGGACCAATTAATGGTTCAACCCAGGAACTGGCCGCGAGAAATAAGAAAGTGGAACTTAGCCATTTGTGCTCTGGGCATCGAAGCCCTTATTGTCCTGAACTTCGCTGATGACAGCATCCACACCCATTAACATTTGCTTCTCTACACAGTCAAAAGGCTACATCTGGCCAGGTGCCACCGAAAATGTCCTATAACTGTATCTGGAAAATAAATAACTGGAAATCTATAACTGTAAATGTATAGAGTAAGTATGCCAACATTTACACTAGGATACCCCTCCAGTGCAATTAGGCAATATGTGAGATAAATTTGATAATTTCCCTAAATACAAAAACAAAATCATTTGTCTAATTAAAATCACTTATCTGATGTGGCATGGTACATGTCCTATTTTTGTACCCCAGTGTCAATCTGATTCCAACATTTAAGCAGCCCGGCTCCTGCTGCCTCAACATCGGCTGGGTCCCGTCCCTGAAATACGAGGAATGTGCGCGTCTGGAACTGTGCTGTCAGCTTCGTGCTGAATTCCGCCTCGCGCTAATTAGAGCTAGCAAGCTGTAATTCATTTATGAGGCGATATTTTAAGGCCAAGATGTTTGATTTCTGATGAGTATTGAAAGCCACTGCCTAGCTTAGTGCTAGATATGTCCATCAATCTTTCAAGCACTTAGCCGACAAAGGGGCAGGGAGAGACTACAGTCTGCCACAGGCGGTATCCGTTACAAGAAGATGCACACACACACACACACACACACACACACACACACAGACACAACAATGACAACCCTAACCCCTACGCAGCCCTAACCTTAACCAAAAGTAACCAAACAAAATATAAGACTTTTGATATTTTATCGCAGTCAGATTTTTATGAAAAATGAAAAATATTTCCCCAAAATGTCAAAATAAGGATTTTATCACATTGCATGGAATATATACATAACCCCCCTCCACACACAGATGTCAGGTAGCCTAACTACGTGTCTTTGGGCTGCAGGAGGTAAGCACACCACCCACAGGAACTCCACATGAGATGTGGAGAAGAAGTCAAAGGTTTGGAGAAGCCCTCGCTGGCCTGGAGGCACGAGACGACGGCGCTGGACACGACCCATCAGCCCGCGTCCGGCAGCCGAAATATCCAGTTACAAGCAGAGCGAATGTTGGTCGGGTCATGAAACCAAGACAGCCACGCATACACGTATATGTACTGTACCCTGTAATTGGTTACGTGGTGTGGACGATGTGAAAGGATGTCCGCGGAGTTACAACACAAGGCCCACAAATCCATGTCAGATTATACCTTTGATATTTCTGAATTTTCAGATTAAGTTTTGAAGCTGCAAAAGCCACACATTTTCTTTCTCTTTTCAAGAGTTGATCATTCGACATTAGGCAAAATTACACAAGATCCATCGATTAAAACTATTTCGGAGTTTTTAATGCAAAGTGACTGGTTGCTGCTACCTCAGTTTGCCACCAGAGGGCGACACATGCTGTGGCTTTTGTGTTACTGTGTACATAGGTGATGATGTGGTGTTTGCCACGCCAGTGTTTCTCCCCATTTAAGTTCTACAGTGTCCCCTATTCTCTGCTCTGTTTGACCCAGAACATCCTATGTGTCATGTTAGCATTCTGTGTGAGTCAAACATTAAGTTTTCTAGTTTCCATGCTTATGTGTTTTCAAGCCCCCCCTGCTCTTGGGACTGCGCTGCCCCAGTCACACTGCAGCGGTGCTCAGGCATTATTCCCTAAGGTCCGATTAAATCAGCCCAACCACACAAAGCCAAAGTACATAGGGGGAGGTCCACTTGGGGAGGGCGGGGGGTTGATTTTGTGGTCTGGATTACTAGTGTTTCGATCGGGATGCAGACCACCATTTCAGTACAGCTTACCTCTCTCAGTACTAGTTAGGATTATCAGCTATGTGACAAATTACACTCAAAGAAGTCAAAAACATGTTGGTCACATAGATGCATTTTATGACCAGGATTAGAGTATGATCCACCCATCTTCTGTACCTGCTGGTCTCATGCAGGGTCACGGGGGTCCATAGGCTATTCCGGAAACTACGTGCTTAGATAGGGAATAATCCAGGATATATACTTCATATTCAGGATATATTCCAGAATAATCGTTATATAAAGTGTTCCTGAATCAGGAGACATTACCCATAAATAGTCTCAGGGTTAATAGAGTTAATATACATCTTACAGAAGCATGAAAAGAGTCTTAAACCAGGACCCAGCATCTTTCAATAAAATATGCCATGATAAATGTATTATTTACACACTGGTGGGATATTAGTGTTGGGGGAAGCACTAGGCTGTCTTAATGTGGAGTATTAAATTGCCATAACTTTACTTTTTGGAAAGATTCTTGAGGGAAAATTGCCCACATAATCTCCAAATACTTCGATCTGTCCACGAAGACTCCTCCCAGACAAAGGTCTCGAGAGGCTGCTTAGCCCATCGAAGACAACAAATTGGGACTGAGTGCTGCATCAGCAGGTTTTTACTGGTCCCCGGGGCTCGATCACAGAGTCCTTTACCTCAGCGCCATTCTAAACAAACCTTACTGCACAGTTAGCATTTTTTAATTAAATATATACTTTTAAAACATTACAATATCATTACAGTATAATTTGGTAATTGATGTGGATATGGGAATCTTGATATCTTAGTCAAATTATTTGGGGATTAGCATTACGTACGACGGAGTCTGAAACAACAAAAAAGTCACACAATTAATTAAAATTTACTTTCTTCGACTAATGTGTTACGTTGTTAGATTCTCAAGAAAAAATGTAACCCCCTCCTCTTGGCCCTCACCTGGAATTACTCCTGTGTACAGAACACTGGTTTTTGTTAAACAGCCTCTCAATTAATAAAATTTGATTGAGCTGTTAGATGCTAATAATCCAGATGAGGCAAATACTAACTAGTATAATTTTACATGCAAAAGCTAAAGCATTATTTGGCATCTTAGGTAAAAATAAAAATTAGTGCTGTTATTAGAATCAATTCATTACCCACTCAACCTGCCATTTAATAATTACTTGGTAAATCATTATGTTAATATTTCATGGTCACATATGGCTCTCTGCATTATTATTGGATTATTATAGCCTTGCCACAATAAAAAAACAAACAAAATGTAATCAAGGAATCAATCTGGCTTCAGGGATTAAAATGCTTACCATTACACCAGAAACTAAAACAGAAACATTTCTAACATTATAGGAAAATAAATCTGATTCAATGTAGTCCAACAGACTGGTACTCTATCCAGGGTGCCTCTCGGCTTGAGCCCTATGCTTCCCTGGATAAATGATTATGAAAAATGGATGGATGGATGGATGGATGAATACCTAAATGTATAAGGAAAAAATTTACTGAAATAAAGATTTAAGACTATTAAGTCACATAGTGTTCTACTTGGAGTTCTGTTTACTTTTAATAACACTTAATTGCTTAATTGATTAAATGTTGTCATAGCTACAAGATGCATGTCATTTAAGAGCAACCGTATAATTGTGAGACAAAAAAAGTTTAACATGTTGTCTCATGCAGATTAGTACCGTTTAGTTACATCTCCAGGGTTCGAGGTTCGAATCCCACTTCTGTATACTGTATGTGGTTTGCTTGTTTCCCATGTCATCTGAGTTTGGCTATCCAAAGACGCGAATATTTTGTACTATTATTATTTCTGTTTCTTCTGGCTGTCTTATTAGCCCTTGAAAAAATCTTTTACATGCTGCAAAATTGCCAGTGCTGATCAAATCACTGGGCAAAATCTAGTCAACAGCTGGATGATGTATTGTTATTTTATAATTAACCTTCTAGTTAAACTGAAAGCCAGGACTGAGGTTTGGGGACTTCTGGCACTTATTAACCTTGTTATTCTGGTTGATCATGTATAGGGAAGGAATATAGAAAGTGCCAGAAAGATTAAAAAATACACAAAAATTAATGAGTCACTGTTTCCACATTTTGTGCATGTAGGCGTAGTACTGTTCTACTGCATACACCTTATTATACTCTCTCGACTAATTCCTACAGCTAAGCCAAAGCTGCTACTATTACTACAACTACAACCACTGTTATTTAAAAGTACTGTTTCAATTGCTCATTTGCATGAACTGACATTCTGATGCTGCTGCCACAAATACCCAACTCCTTCTACTTCTGCAACAATTTTACAACCTTTTCAGGTACAGAAATTGACTCAGAGAACATCTCTGTGCCATTGCTGGTACATTAATGCTGTTTGTACCTTTGGTATGTTCCTCAGAGCTCATTTCTGTACCTTAAAAGGTACAATCACAAGGATACAGCCCCAGTGACAAGAAAAGGTACAAATTTTTACTCTTTTTCTAAGAGTATACCAACTATACTATTACCATCACCTCGATACTATTGTATCTATAGATATACTACTTCTAGCACTACTAGTAATACTCCACTAATATTAGTCTATCTACTACTACAGAAGAGCTAATAGTTAATAGTGTTAATAGTTAAAACTGTATTTCAGTATTAATGTAGTTGGTGCTAAAGTCAAGCACTTGACAGAATGAGGAATCGTTGCATTTAAAGAATTGCACGTAATTTAACGCCTCTATTATGGTCCTCCGCAAAATGTACATTAGAGGAAGAGGCAGCAAGTAGATGTGGTCTCGGCTGAGTGTTTACTTAACACTGGTCAATTATTCTCTAAATGATGGAACTGCAATCGTGCCTTATCTGAAGGACGTTTAGTAACCACAGTGAAGGCTCTGTTTCTCGTACATGAACAGTGATTAAGTCAAACAGCACAGTTAACAATTAGGCTGAGGTACTGGTGAGTGTTGGCAATTGTCTTTTAGAAATAGAATTTTGTTCACAGTCGTAGGAGTCTGTACATTATGAGAAACAAATCAACACTTGCATATCTAAAAGGGACGCCCAGCCGAAGACCAGCTCAATGTTATATTGCTCTACTGCCCCCTGCTGTTGCGTCCTGGTCAGTGACGCATGTTGCAAGGAAATGTCACATGTCTCAGGAAGGTAACAACGTAGCCATTGAAAAACGCAAAATATTAAGCCTTTTTTTATGCACGATTTATATTGCAAACTTATCTTGACACATTGTCTTGAATCTCGTCAATACGCAAATTTGATTGTACCAGTTTATACAGCAGCGCAGTACAGATTTTTGTCCATTACATCATAAGCAGTTGCAGGATTTACAAAAACACTCCTCGAATAACTTCGCAATAACACTAAAATTATTTACTTTCTTGATTATCGATTTAAATGTGAAATATATTTCAATGATTGATGTGGGCGGTTTTCCAATCATGCTTCTTAAAAAAAAATACCCTATTAAGTTATTCAGTAACACCTATTCGTCAAATTGAGAAGGGGGAGGGGGGGGGAAACTTCCCGATCAGGATATTCCAGTTTTATCCGGAAGATGAAAATCCTCGCCACAGAACATTTAACAGCGTGTCACACCTTTGTCTTTTTCGCTTTAATCTCTGCAGCCACAGAAAAAAGAGTCTGGTGCTCAGGGGCAAAAGAAAAGAAAATGTAACATGAGACTGGGTTTAATTCTTCGCTTGTGATTGTTTTTGTGGCTGTTTGCCTTGGCGGCGCAGAGACGCACTGCGCCTATATTACAGGACATACGCGGGCGGCCTCCCCGGAAAGTCTCCGGAGATCTCCGGCTCCCCTTCGGCCCGCGATCGGCGGCGGTCTCGTCGCCCTCGGCTGTCATGAAGGATGGACGGGCGGCCGCCGATCTCGGGTAAAGTCAGGAGCTCCGTCACGGATTTCTTTTCTCCGAGCTGGGACCCGGAAGCAGAAGGCAAGCCGCCGACTCGCGTTTTGTTTGTTTTTATCTGGAGTTGGGGAGACTGGCCGAGAGCAAATGGGAAGTTAGAGCTGCAGGGATGGGGGATGAAGGCTGCGGCGGGGGCGCCGCTCCCGCCCGGGGGATGTCTGCCCCGCTGAGCGCCCGCCACGGGGATGCCGTCGGCGCGCTGCCAGCCGCCCCCGACGGAGCTCCCACGCCGGGCACAGATTTTGTCCTGGACTCGGAGACAAAAGTTGTCACGCCGGACGGTGTCTCGGTGTCGCGGGAGGCGACGGGCGATGAAGAAAACGCGGAGAGGCGGACCGGCGCCATGGAGATCTTAAAGAGTCTGGGGGCGCCGAGAGCCCTTCCCGACCGGAGCGGTGCGGAGGACGGCCGGGGGCAGCACTGGGACGCCTCGACGGTGGACATGGCTGTTAAAAATCAGGCTGACTGGTCGGATGGAGACGGGAGTGTGGCGGGGGATCGCCGAACAGGCGACCGTGTCCTTACGGAACTCGCGACGGGACCGACACTTTCTGATCCGGACGGGGCGGAATTGCCGGGGCCGGCCGAAGAGTTCTGGAGCCGCCCGACGTGCGGCGCCCTCCGCCCCAAGGAGCACGTCTACTGCACGGTGTACTGCATCGCGAACGACAGCCCCGGTGGCCAGGCGAGCCTGGACGGCGCCCTCGGGACTCCTCCGGCGGCCGAGGCGGAGGGTCCGCAGCGCTACCCGGAGCCGCTCTCCCTGACCGCTCTGATCGAGTCCCGGAGTTCGGGCAACTTTTCGGGCGCGGAGCCGAGCGCGTCGGTGCCGGTGACCTGCCGCGTCTGCTTGGACGACAAACGCATCAAGCCACTGCACTGCTGCAAGAAAGCCGTATGCGATGAATGCCTGAAACTGTACATCAGTTCGCAGGTAAACCCCCCAAAAGCAGCATGCAGTTGTCATTCTGCAGTTTATAATGGCCATTTCTATATTTATAACAATTAAGGTAATGTACGTGTATCATGCAGGCTGATGTCTGTATGTCCAGTTGTGACTGCAGAAAGCATGTTTAGTTTTACCCATCAATTTCCAAATAACCCAAAGGTCTATGTTGATCCCCTTAAATTTATCTTCTTAATCCGTCTGTCGCCATTATCCCCGGACATAGTCCACTTATTGTGATGCCCAGGTGCCCACATTACTACTCCTGTTCCACCCACCCTCACGTGCTCCCTGTGGTACCTCCTAGAGGGACATTTTCAGTGACAACTGCTTTGTGACTTATCTGGGGGAGGGGTCACATGTCACTGTACACAGGGAGCGGCCTGGCCTGGCTTCTCGGAGCCCCCGTCCTGCCTTACTCACAGCTGTCCCCTGTAACGTGCAAGGTCTGGGCCGCTTCTCTGGAACAGCATGAGAGCTCAGCTTCAGTTCCAGCGAAGTGCAGCTGCCTAATTTCCCTACTTCGGCAAAATGCCTTGACCCTCCCCCAGTCAAGTTCTCGCAGTAAGGGGCCAGTTCTAATTTTGTGTTGTCCGCAGGAGTGAAGGATGGATTCGCTGCTCGTTCGGAGAATGCCATGGTATTTGCCGGGTGACTGGTACGCTTTGGCATGAATGTAAATGTTTGGCATGCCGGTGGAGTTTAATTACGTGGCATGATGCAGGGGAGCGGCTGTACCAAGCGTGACGTCTCTGGGCTTCTCTGTGGCATGCATGGAAGGTTAGTAGTTAGGGTAGGTTGCCCTTTTTGGGCAATAACTATTTTGGGAGGAGGAGCATCTGCAGGGCTCTGAATCATTTAAAAAGCCACAAGGTTCTCTCTGGACCATATTAATAATAATAATTGACCCTTTATTGTCCCTGTGGGGAAATTATTTTTTTATGCCTCCCTCAACTTGCTCTTTGTAGAGTAAGTTGTCCGCAAAGGGCAGCCATCCATAGCAGCACCCATATTAGCCTGCGGAATAGCATTATATAGGTCTCAGTCATCCCATAACTTGTTTTTCCTTTGAGACGTTGTCCGTGTGGTGGTCTGATAATGGCTGGTATTTGGGGACATCAGAAGAGATTGCTGGGAATATCCATGCAGCCAGACTGTAAAGTGGGATTCGCCACGAACGGACCTGCACCCGGTTTTCCAAGTCTGGATGCCTTTTCCAGATAACCGGTAGCATTCCCCAGTGCCTTGCATCCGTGCGCAATCCACTGAGAAGATCAGAAGATCAGCAGATCTTCTCTGGGGTTCGCTCCAGCACATAGCAGCCCGACTTGGAAACTGAGAACTAAATAAAGACTTGGTCAGATGGTGACAGACAGGGAAATACTAGAAGATTTTATTCAGCAGAAAAGCTACAGAAAACAACATAAATTGCAGTGTCCCACGAAGCACTCCCTACATAAAAGCTTGATCTTCAGAATCAGGTTAATTGGCCAAGTGGCACACACAAGGAATTTGTTTCCGGCAGTTCCGGTACATTCTAGAAGCATTTGAACTGCTTTGAATGTTAAGATGCACAGTGTAACCCTGAGTTAAAGAAGGAAAAGGAAGATGAATAATTTTCTGAATGCCGCTTTAAACATTGCAGGTACATACGGGATGAATATTTTCTTTTATGGACTCAGGGTCAGCTAAAAGTAATTATAAATAGTGGATTTTTTTCTTTATTAAAAGCAGGAATATTAAGATTTTCATTGCGCTTCAACTGTGAGGATGAAAGATATGTAAATACACATTTTAGTGGACTAAAATCTACTGTATCTCGAAAGACATGCAAGCCACACTTCAAAAGGCCGAACGTAAGTAGGTCAATTTTTCTATTAATTCACCTGAATGTTTAGGCCATTTTTTGCAGCCATTTACTTTGACTAACTTTCGCTTTTCTTACGGTTATTTGAATGGTCGGTAGAGTGAGAGTGGGAGATAGCCGTCTGCTCTTATTATTTTGGTTAGAGGAATATTGAATAGCATTTGGAAAACAATAGACCGCTTTCTGCTTCATATATACCTGGACATTAATTATGAATTTTGTCACAAAGGATTGCTGCACTGTACCTTGACTTATTTCTGCTAATGTCATGCAGAGAGTGAGTGGGGTTTAGTCGTAGCGATGAGGTCACACGTCTCATCTCCCCGGTTACAAGCTACCTGCCCCTCACCTGCGCCCCTGCCTCCCTATTGGTGGGTTTTACATCTTCAGCTATGCCCATACATAACAGAATTACCTTCCCGTTCATCATTGTGCTTGTAAGTAACTACTCTGCCAATGCAGCGAATTATTTGCCCCAATGAAAGGCCCAAGCCTCACGAACAATACCCCTGTCATTCCCCAGCTAGTGAGGATGCAATCTTCCGCTCTTAATTTGACCATCTTTCTTCTCCTGACATTAGCTCAGGAGATTAGCCATTCAGATTTCTCTCACCAGTCAGTTCACTTCCCCCACCTTCATTTCCCTGCCCCCAAATAGCTTAATTAGACGATGTGACTGACTTTCCTGCAATTTCTCGTCTTATTGCGTTCCGCTGGTGGTCTGTTTGGCTTGGACGCAGCATTTTGGTGACCGCTGTGCTAAGCTCAGAAGTAGCGCACAGGAAGTTGAGATTCTGCAGTCTGTCGTCTTCGAGTAGAAGTGAAGCTGTCGAAGAACTGATTTACATGCTGGACACAGAGCTGCTGACCTCAAACTTAACTCAAGAAGCTGGTATTGAAAATTAGTTGGTTGCATTCATTGTTTTCAAATGAAACTGTAATACTTACCGCTACCAGGAAGGTCTACGCAGGTGGTTTAGATATGTGTGTAATTTCAGCTGTCACTGGAAAAACATAGAAATAACATTCTGGGATGTCTGGCTCTCCGTCATGGAGATTCATTTGTGCAGCAGGACCTAAGGAGAGCAAGTCAGTAAAAACAGGCCTTGCTGCTTGATGCCTGGTGTGATCAGTTGTTTATCATCAAAGGTTGCTTTTCCATGGTCATCGTAATTAGCACTGCTGTTGGTATCGTGTCAGGTATGCAGTCTGCATTTCTGTGGTGGTGATGCCACACTACGGTGACCTCATGGGCTTTGGTAACAGTTCTTCACATTTGGCCAGTGTCCCCCCACCCCCAGGCCCGCCGTCTCCCCTCTCCATGGCTGCAGGGTGGCAGTTTGCCACTGCGGGGGCTTTTATTCCCCTGGTGGCTGGGACAAGCTTTCATGTGTGACGCATCTTTAATTAAACGCCACATTCCATTAGGATCACTGAGCAGGCCAGGGCGTTCATCGCTTGCGCTCGAAGAAATATGAAGAGATGAGAAGACGTGTCTGATTTGCATTTTACAATTACGTTTAACACATTTTGGTGACCGCTTTTGTGCAAACTGAGGTACAGGTGAAGCAGATCAGGATGAGGATCAGAATCGGCTAGCGTGTAACTGTCAAGGAGTCGACTCGGCATAAATACTGCACTTCCAGTGAACGCCCAGGTACGAGTGTAAGCAGGATTGGAGCAGGAGATGCGCAACGATTTCCAAAAAAAAAAAAAAACATCGGCCATTGTGTGCAGCCAATGAGAGACTCCAGAGAGCAGTTTGAAGTCGGTGCGAATTCTCACTTGTCTGTTATCCGGACATCAAACTGTCTCTCTCTCTTTCTGACATTTCACTAGATCAGCAATTGTCACCAAAGGCATCAAAATAAGACAAAAGTGAAGGATATGATCATTGTTTTGTCAAATCATCACTTTTCTTTCATTCTACCAATAATTCCTCCTGGGCCTTAAAGGTCAACTGGTCCAGCCATCTAAACTGTCTGAAACTATTAGGCTGTTTTGAGATTTTTTTTTATTTTTCTTCATAAATTTTCCACCTCCGTCTTTAAATCTTGCCTCGGCGTTGATGCTTTTCATGATAAGCGGGTAACAGAACAGCGTGTTTCTCGCCGCCGACAGCTGCTTGAACGTCAGAGTTGTGTTTACGGGCTCAGCCGCGGACCTGCCGAACGTGTTCCTCGCTACTGGCTCTGCAGCGAGCCAACCTGGCGGACATTAGCCGCTGCCGCTGCGTCATTCTCCCGACACAGAGATGGGGGGAGGGTTGTAGCCGCTAATTGCGTTGGGTAATCTCCCCTGGGGAGGGAACTCTGCATAGAGACGGCCATTCACCAGAGCTCAAGCCGTGACTTTACACGGCCCGGGGCGATCGGCTGCTTACGTAGAAACTATTCAGGGTGCCGCCCCGACTTGGCTAACTGCGTTTACGATGTCTGGCGCATAAACACACATTATTCAGGCACGGCGTCTTCCAGAGGTGGGGGCGGACCAGCCAGCATCCAGTCATTGTTTCTGGTGTTATTAATATCCGAAAAGTTTAATCGTAGGCCCACGGGGAGATCTCTCGCTGCGAGTCCGTCTGATTATTGAGTTGCTGCGACACTCCAGTTAAGGCACTAATGTCTGTGGGCGTACCTGCACTTAGTTTCCAAAAGACCAAAAGTTCCAGCTCTTATTGAAGCACTGTTAGAACTTGTTACTTCTGCTTTATCTTGTTAAAACTGCCCCCTTTACTCCTGACTTGGTTACATTTGATGCATATTCGTCCAGTCTCCTCTTGAGGAACGTTTCATGCCATTTTTTACGGCGGGATGATCTTCAGAGGTCATCAGCCTGCCGCCGTCTTCTCCGATGTAGTTCCGTGCTTTGGAAATTTCAGGTCTTGTGTTTTGGTGCAACCGTGAGCCATAGTGATTCATTTGGAGCGGGTTCAGAATTCGGTGACGTTGTTATGAGTTGTAAGGAAGGCTATAGGTCGGAGGCGTGGCCCCAGCATTGTGCCCTTTGCTGAATTGTTGCTGCGGACAAAAGCCTCCGCCCAGTACAGCCAGTGATGGAGCGTGTGTCGGGGCGTGTCCCGCCAGGTGCACCTGGGCAAGGTGGACGTGGTGTGTCCCATCACGGAGTGCAGCGGCTACCTGGAGGAGAGCACCGTGCTGGGACACCTGGCCAGCGAGGAGGTAGCCAAGTACAAGTATTTCCTGGAGCTGAGCAAGATCGACTCCAGCACCAAGCCATGTCCCCAGTGCAGCCTCTTCACCTCCCTGAAGGGCCGCAGCCTGCAGCCGCCCAGCAGGGCGGAGCACAAGTATAAGGTGAGTAGACGCCCCCCCCCCCTCAGTACATGGTGCAGACGCCACCTAGTGGAAGAGAGAGGTACAAAAGTGACCACCACCAACTACAACATCAGCATTTCTATTGGCTGATTGGCATAAGCCAACTTATGCCAACAAGCAGACAGACTTGGGGGGGGGGGGATCCCGTTTAAAAATAAACTTTTAATGGTTTTAAATTGTGTTAACGAGTCCAGGTGACAGACATGAGAGGAAAGGACTTCTGCAGCGTGGGGGCCGTGTGGGGGCTGTGTGGGGGATCCGTGGTGTGGAGTCTGCAGACCTCCTGATGATGATCGGAGGGAGTGTAGATCTGCAGAAGATCGCGGAGATAGGAGGAGGGTGTAGCCTGAAAATCTAGCTCTTATCTTTTGCACCATCCTCTGTATAGCTTTGAGGTTTGTCTTGCATTTATCTTAGATTATTGTATAATTTAATACGGTTTTGTGTTTTTTGTGTTGTTACGAGGTACTTTAAACTGGGAGCATCATGTCTGCTGAAGTTTCCGAGGCGAGAATGGTATTTTGCTGGACGACTGCAGAAGGGATTTTCACTAAATTATTACATGGTCTGAACTGGATTGCAGTGGGGGATTACAGGACAGGACAGATAAATTATAGGGTCTGTCGTAACCCACTGCTTCTATGTGGCGTGTTCTCCTCGGGGGGGTTGGATTATGTGAGCTTTTGGGGACAGACACGGCCATTTATGGCGATTGCATAGTGTTTTATGCCGATTGGGTGCTGTCTTTCTGTGATTGCGTTTGCCGTGTGCAGTGATTGTGCAGTGCAGTGTGTGCAGTGATTGTCAACTAGCTGACGGTGGGGTAAGTCCCCTTTCGCTGGCCTCCCCTTGGGGTGTCTGTGACCATCACGCTTCCCGCCCCCCCCCTCCCCAGGTCCAGTGCTCCACGTGCCAGTTTGTGTGGTGCTTCAAGTGCCACGCCCCCTGGCACCAGGGCCTACGGTGCCGCGAGTATCGCAAGGGCGACAAGCTGCTGCGTCACTGGGCCAGTGTTATCGAGCACGGCCAGAGGAACGCCCAGAAGTGCCCCCGCTGCAAGGTACCGTCTCCGTTTGGGAATACGGCCAGGAATGGCCTCTGTTGACTTCTGCTTGATGACCCTCATTCCAGAAAAATGCCCCATGCAGGAGAGGGAATTTTTTTCTAAAATGCTTTCTGGTTCCATCTATAGAAGGAATGAAATTTGCTCTTTATCCCGCTTATAACAATAACATGAAACAGAAATATCCAGGAAGTCCAAGGCCTTGTGGGAAGAGCTCTGGTATCACATGACGTCCTCCTGCTTTGTTGGTTGTCTGTCCGCTCCCTGCTAATCCTGCTACGGGTCTTGCTACACAAGGGATTATGATGTATCTGCAGCATAGGTCTTCAGCTGTATGACAGGGGTACAGCACGTAGTGTCAGTGTATTCAGAATTTGTTGGGGGGACTTATGGAGTCATAGTATGGGGCTGATTGAAAAGAAAGTTTAGGGTAATATTTAATATCTGATCAAAGGTGAATAAAGAGTGGATTTTGAAGTCTGCTCTACTACATACATTACCGCATGCAGTCTGTTGTTATATAACCAGAATGGGATCAGTGATTACCACATGCCTGTAATACTGAAATTATTATAAAATGCAAGATATTAAATGCATATTTATAATGCTGAAATCCCGGCTATCTAAGCAGTTTATCAGCAGACAGCGTCTTACCGCGAACCCTCTTGTCCCAGATAGAGGGTCGGCCCCTTTAACGTGACACGTGTCGCCTTGTCCCCGCATCAGCCGTGTAAACACGCTACCTCCCATGCACTCTGTTCACCACCGATGTCCCCGCCCCAGATCCACATCCAGAGGACGGAGGGCTGTGACCACATGACCTGCACGCAGTGCAACACCAACTTCTGCTACCGCTGCGGCGAGAAATACCGTCACCTGCGCTTCTTCGGCGACCACACGTCCAACCTGAGCGTCTTCGGCTGCAAGTACCGCTACCTCCCGGACAAGCCCCACCTGCGGCGGCTAGTGCGCGGCTCCGTCTGCGGTGAGCGCCACGCCGGGGAGGCCTACGGCCCCCTCCTCTAGGGCTCACTGTCCACACAGGTGCCCGTAAACAGGAAGTACTCTATTGGCCAACCACTCACGTCTTAATCGTGGAGAAAAACAGATCCATTCCTTATTAATACCTAAAACTGATTCCATTTACTTATTTATTTGAGGCTTCTATCCAGAAAACTTGGATAGGACGCAAGTCGATAGATGACTGAATCTGCTGCCTCTCCAAGCTTGTGCTGACCTTCCTTATTCTGCACGCAGTGAGTAAAATCCTGATTGCCCCATTGGTCGTCGTGCTGGTGGGCGTGTTTGGAGCAATAGCCATCGTCATAGGTAAGCGGAGACGTCGCAGTGCGGTGGGACGAGGGGGCTGATGTGAGCCAGAGTGGGGGGGGGGGGCGGAGAGGATGGAAGGGGAACATCTCTGTCGTCTGAAATTTTCGTAGAAGACCAGTGAGGCTTTGCTTCAGCAAAGTGCCACATCCATGCTGAATTTTTAATACGTGTTTTGCCTCATGTTCAGAAAGTTTAGATTGCAGGACAACTGCTGTTGTTGTATTGAATGAGAAGATGTGGATGTATCCACCATAAACATGTAGAAACCATAAACATGGTTAGACATGCATGATATATCAGTTGACATATCAATATCGGCCGATGTTTGTTAAAAATATATCGCCATTGGTCCAGTTTGTCAGCCGGAGTCAATATTACCCAAGAGTGTTTAGACTTTACTCAATATTCAAAGTTAGCAGCACCAGAGCTAAAGACATAAGTACGAGAACGATAGAGACGATCGCATTGGACGATCGGCCATTTTCCGGAGGACGAGGGACTTTGTGGGCTCATTCGCCACTTAGAACCTTTGCTGACGTCTCACTGCCTGCATTAATATTGTGGCTGCTGCACACAGTCACTGGGTCTTAAGAAATAACGTCAATGGCACCAGTTTCCCTACTGGTCTGCAGAGCTCAGAAGTTAGCTAGTCGATGCCATTGGTTATCTGTATTGGTAATATTAGGAAATAATTTATTGGTTGTCAGTATTGGCCAACTAAGCCACTAAGCATAAAGAATTCCATTAAATAAATCTTTGTCTGCTGAACAGCTAAAGAGCACTAATGCAAGTATGTCCTTCTGAAGTAATGGTGCATCTTCTCGCAGGTCTGATTGCTTTCCCCATCTACTACATCTGCAAGAAGCGGAGGAAACGTTCGCAGGGAACTGGACATTGGTTCTGCTGACAGTGCAGCTCCACCTCGATGCAGGGATGGAGGGAACAAATTGCCAGACTCAGCCCAGCATCAAGCCAAATACAGATGGACGCTTCCGGAACCAGAGCAGAGATGACGCCAGGCACAGAGTCCCTGTTCTCACCCTGGAACCCACCCGGAAAGCCAGTCTTTACAGTCTGGGTCCCGACGATTTGGACACTGGGTCGTTCTCCTCAGCCACCTAAGTTGCTGGCTTCTGTGAGAGGTCCAGCAGGGCTCTGCTGTCCTGGTGGCCTCCCTGCGACCTTGACCTCGTAGATGTGAGGGCTTCAGGAAAACCAAGACATTCAGTGCTCTTCAGCGAGTGTGCAGAAGCATCATGAACGGTGCCTCAGAGCTCCTAAGGGTAGGGATAGACAGATCCTAGCCAACGTCACTTGCAGTAGTTTGCAGATATTGACCATAACGCTGATGCTTTATCACTGTCTCTGACAGATCTTGCCATTTTTTTTCCCCCTAAATTCTTTTTCGTGGTTCATATCTTTGAAAGATTTGTGATATTTATTTATTTGTGCTTGCTGGCCAACTCTTGCCTTGCGTTTCCCAGGCTCTCGTTGGGACAGTCATACCTCCCCCGGTGGGCCCCGTGCTGCTGGCAGCTTAGTAATCAAGGTCCCCCTCCCTACGTTGTTTTTCCACTCTCCTTACTGCTCCAACCCCAGCAGTTGGCCATCTCTTCCCAAAGGCACTCAGTGCCATAACATAACCGCCATTATGTTCATTGTTACTCGCGCACCCATTCTTTCAGTGATGAGTTTTGTCATGTTGCCATAACCTTCCTCCTGACTTCCAGACCGTGACTCCCGTTGGGTGTTCAGATCAGCTCAGGTTCACTCCGACGCGCCAATCCCTGCGACGTCTGGCCTGCGCTACTCCGTGGTCGTGTCGTGGGCCCGACGAGCGTCGCACGAGCATTGTGAGCAGTGCCGAAACAAGGCTGCGTGAAAACAAGGCGTGTGTCCCCCGCACTGACATACTGCCCTCACTTCCTGTCTGAACAATACACGGGCGAGGTGGGTGGCCAGCTCTCAGCTTTCAAAGGAGCCCTTTGAATGGTCGCCGCTTGCCCTGTAAACAGACACGATGCTGTCCCCTTAGCTTTTGTATGTGTAATTATGGAAGCTTTATGAGAAGGGGAAAGCTGCGGAAATAATGTTGTTTCACTCCTTTTGATTAGATTGTATTAGTTGATTCTTTCTTCTTTTTAACTTTAAGGGAGTTTAAAGCCATTTGTTGAACTGTAGGGGTGTGATTAAGGAGTGTGAAGGAATACGCTGCATCAGAGCATCTGTCGTCCTTGATGCAGTCATCATCCTGTTCACGCTCATCCTGATTTCGACATGGTTACTTTAGTGAGTTGCTCTAACATTTGTGTGACTTGCCACGTCAGTCCCGGTTGAAGATGCCCAGATAAATTCGTAACATTTGCTGGATCTGAGGCGTGCTAACATGCGCAAAGCTTAGCATTGCCACCATGCTCGTTAATGGACTGCATTGTTTCAGTAAGCAACTGCAATGTCACGTGCATTTAAAGATTATTCAAGGAGCTAATTGCCAGCCAGACAATGTCCGCTATGCACAGTAACCTGCAAAACATGTTAAGTGATGGATGATGCCACAACAGACAATCGCGTATCCATGCTTCTTTTCAAACGTTGACAAAAGAATCTACTGTCAATCTGTCAATAATAATCACGAAGAGAGTTGGGTCAACTTGTTTGAAAAGGGTACTTCAATTGGGACCACAATCATCAAAAGACATTTTAGAAAATGTAGTCTTTTCTAATTGTTCTCAGGAAACATTCAAGGTAAAATGTCTTGTTTACTAATGCTGTGATTTTCATTATAGCCCAGTGGCAGGTGGGATTTGCAACTTAAAATACATGATCAGCAGGTCGATTAACACATGAACACAATGTGTTTCAGTTTTTTTTTTTTTGGTCCAAAATTAGTCTGCTGGATGCTCAAAGGAAAGAATGTTTTGTCATTTACAGTTTACTTTTTTATGTGTCATCATAATTTTGCAGTCCCCGTGGTGACCTCCATCACTGGGCTGACTGCTGATGCCCCATCTGGGTGCAAACTCGTCAGGTGCCTTCAAAAACGGCAAGGCTGAAGTGCCACATTTCACTTCCAGGACGTTAAAACCTCACGATTTCTAACGATTCTGTTATGCTCATTTGTCTGAAATACAGCATATAAAACTAGCGCAGAACATGAGATGAGAGCTTCTGTCCTCCGTATGTGTGACATGTCTGTTTGTAAAGCACCACGCTCGTGTTTGACTCTCCATTCCCCGGATCTCAGTCCATCTTCAGAGCTCTTCAAGCACACGTCCCTTGTGAGGAACTGTGAACTCAAGCTCATTAAACGATGTTGGCAAGAGGTGCCAGAACTCACCCAGCGTCTGGTGTTCCTCCTGGTTCCACGTTCCTGTACCGTATGCTCAGGTTCTCAGGCTGCTGCCTGGCCTTGGGACGTCCTTCTCAGTGGAGTAGCTATGTTGGTGCCCAGCCATCATTTACAGATAGCAGTTCTGCTCTCACCAGCACATTCGTTCACTAAAAGTCCTCTCGTACGTGTTTGATCATGTGACATACTAACACCCCTTTCGGCTTCAAGTTTCAGGTTCTTTATAGGCCATGTGTAATAGGTGAATTGGAAAGCTTGCTTGCAGTCACATTAAAACTGCAAAAACTAGACACCGGCTAAACTTGGGTCACAGAATCAGTGCCCAGAGCTTGTTCATTGGCGTTGGGAGTTTGGGCGAGGATCTTGGTTGTGTGCCACGGAACAGCAATCCACAATGCTCCAGGCCCGGTAAACATTAGCACCGGTCTTGCCTGTTCAGGATGACAGAAGCTCTTGTGTTGTCATGCGGGCTCAGCAAAGTTGCCGTCCTACTGAGGATGGATGTGTCATTAGCTTGTTTGTCATATACACAAGCTCAGCCACATCTGGCCAACATGTTCTCCATGGGTGTGCACCTGCTGTGACTCTGGTCACTACAGTAACCTATCAGGCTTGGCCCCTGCTCACCATGTGCAGTCTCACGTAACAAAATCAATCCATGAAAAGCGACAGTGCGCTAACATGACAGCAAGCATTATATAACACATCTCCTTTCCCGTTGCCGTTGTCCATCCAGCCCCTAACAGATGGAAGGCCATGAATACTGTCATTCATTGTTAAAGCTCACACGCCAGCATGCTCTCCGTACAGCATGCATAGCTTAATTAAACTCGTAAATTTTACGGAGTTCTGAGGGACCTATATAATACTGATCAACCATGACAGTGACACTATATAGGTCCCTCAGAACGTCATAAAATTTACTAATTTAATGCCACTTACTGTAATGCATATACCAATATACTGTACTGTTACTCAACCTGGACAAGGAGAAGTAAATAGGAGAGGGACACTGTCTTCATCCTCATGAGGAAATTGCTCTCTGTGAGACAAAGCAAACACAATAAAGAGCAATATAAAGAGAGCAGGCTTGGGGTCAGTCAGCACCCCTGCTGTGTTTGGGTTTAAGGGTCTTGCTCAAGGGCTAAACAGTTGAATCACTGTTGACCATGGGATTTGACCCAGTGACCTTCTGATCCCGAGCACAGAGGCCCTACCCCCAAAGAGAGGTATACAAATATCCTTTAGTTTACAGTAAATTTACTCTGGGGGGGAATGAGCAATGCATCAAATTGTCCACAATTACCACGGATAGTTGAACAGTTGAATTGACATGAATAGTTGTACCATCCATCCAATATCATCAAAGACTATACAAGTTTAAGCAGATACCTCATAAATAAAGATTGTGCCTATGGTTTCACACAAAGTTAGTTTGCATTTACGATGCTAAGTTAATATTTTAAAAAATGACAATGTGTATACCCAATTACACTGTCCTGATCACCCAGGTCTGGTCAACCTCACTAGGACAGAACCAGCCACACAAACCGGACATTTTTTTAACAGATCAGAAGAAAGTTTGTGAGCTTGGGGGTGTCTGTTCCACAGTTTCTGTTCAGCACCTTTGTAGAGAGAAGGTATATAATGTATGGGGGTTGGGCTTGTATTGAAGCATCCTTGAAACTTGAATACACTCTTCATCTCATGCAGGGACCAAGAGGAAAACAAATTATTTTACTGTGCTACCTCCAGGCCCCCCGTCAACCTTTCCAGGGTAGATAGATAGAAGGATGGATGGATGGATATGCCTTAGGTTAACATTTAGGATTTTCTCCAAGAGGCATTCATTTATATGTTGCTCAATGATTCAAAAGTAGAAAGAGAACTTGATAAATTAAAATCTTAAGGACTAAATCTGTTTTGTAGACTGTAGAGGCGTGACAGTTGGGAAATTCTCCTTCACATTCCTCTCAGCAGCATAACATTTACTGAAGGATTTCCTGCCCCATTTTAGCCCAAGCTAATCTTTTGCATATGAGATTTTCTACCGACTTCCTTTTTGCCCTCACAGTTCACATTTGAGAGCTGCCATGTGACCCGATCCCATCATTACTATGACCTTCTTTAAGGGGGCGGGGCCACAGGGGCACTGGCCCCAGCTGAAAGCTGATTGGCCCCTGCAGTGCTCCCTCCCCTGTCACTCACTGATTCAAAACATGTCAGTGGCTAAAGATCAGCCCCTATTAAAAACAAATTTGAATCGGACCTATTTATAAACTATTTGCATTTAAATTTAGTGTTTTTGGACTAAATAGGACACTACTGCTATTCTTCTACCTCTATTGCATGTTAATTCCAATGATGCCTTTTTATTTCGTGAACTCAGTCATGCCTAATTGACGTAGCTGGATTGAGCAGGAGCTTGGTGTGGGGACAGACGGCAGCTGGATCTCCGCCATCACACATCGTCATGCCAATGAATCCCCGGCTCTGCGACACAGATGCTTCAATTAAATAAACAGCTGGACATCGTCGGGACTGATTGGACCCAGCGAGACGGCTGGGCGGATTCCAGAGGTGCGAGACGAAAATGAGATGTCCACTCCTGGTATATGGTTCTGGAATCTTCAGCTTGCGGGGGGGGGGTCAGGCTTTGCTTTCATTTTCATTTTGTGCGCTTTTTTCGGAATACCATTCTAAGGGGTGTCAATCCTCATTTATTTGCTTTTTTCAAACTAAGACGCCCCCCACCACCACCACCACGGCGGTTCCTATTCCATCAAATGCAGCAGGCTACCCCGGGTTCGACGGCAGCAGCCCTTCAGAAATGGGGTCGCCGTCATCTTTTTGATGGCTGTCGGTGCTCCTGGGACCCCAGGTCCATTCACTACTTTAATAAGCCATTAACATGCCTGCTGTCTAATGAACCAACTCTCTGGCTGCGCATCTGTAGTTCATCTGCAACTGTGGCCTCCGGTTGATCTTACATAATAACTCTGTAGATCTGCCCATTACACTGTCCAGCATCTCTAATCCATCATTTCATTTACTATCTGATTCTTTTAAGCTTATGCTGCATAGCCCAGAATTACACACTATAAGCTGAGTTTCCATTTAGCAAATCAATGCCTGACTGCGCGTCACCAGTGAAAGACAGTCGCAGCAGATGCAGTAACAGCTTACTAACACAAGAGGGAGCCAAATGTAAACAATCCATAAATACCAATGTCTTACAATAAGTAAAATGTCAGTATTAAAAACTATAATTCAGCATAGAATACACATTCTATAAATATTCTACACTTGTCTAAAATATTGCATCTGATGTAAGACACAACTCCACTCTCCTACATTACACAATTTACATGAGTTTAAAACAGTGTTTGAATAGCAAATTTTGTTTCAAATTTGGTGAATCGCTTGTTCTTCTCTACGGTCCATTCTACCCATTAATCCATGTGAATACAGAGCAGTTGGCAGAGTGCGTTCACCATTGGGCTCTTGAGCAAGGCCCATAACCCCAATTGCTCCCAGGACTGGCTGGCCCAGGGCTTTGAACTGGCAACCCTCTGAGTCCCAACCCAAAGCGCCCCACCCCCAGATAATTTTTCGCTTAAAACCTTTTCGGTCAGTTCATAATTTGATATATTATTTTACTGTTGTCTTTATAATTATTCTAAAATGTAGAGAATAGTAAAAAATAAACCTTTCTGTGGCTGGGTGTGTCCAAACATTTGACTGGCGCTGTGCATAACTCTCTTAAAGCAGCATGTGACATAAACAGCGGGAAGCAAGAATCATGTTAACAGACTGAGGCGGGATACTGACACCAGGTGGAACATATGGGTCACTGGCTAAACGATCGCTGTTTACAGCAGGACAGCTCAGGAGTCCAGTCTGTCTTGAGTTGCTCATTGCTGCTGAAGTTCATTTACATGCAGGGGTATAATTAGGGGGTGGTTGGGGGGCTGGGCAGAGGGCTTATAGCGACCCTGGACCCGTTGTGAGGTACGTATCAACCTCTGACTTGTGACAATGACGTTAAATGTTCCTGTTTGCAGTTTGCCATCGTCTTTAAGCTGTATTAGTGGTATTATAAAAACATTTAGGAGTGTCACAAAAAAAGCACCAATTTGCGCATTTCAGGGTACCATTACTTAATTGCCACTGGGGATGTTCCCTCAAGGGTCTGCCAATTGTACCCTAACTGTAGGTAACTGTACATTTTAGTATAATTCAAGGTACAGAAATGAACTTTGAGGAACAAAGTGGAAACATTAATGTTGTTTGCACTTTGGGGAACAAAACTGTACCGGGGCTGTACCCATTTTCGGACATTGTAGCCTTTTTAAAAACAATTCTTTCTAACCCATAATGAATCGGACTTATTTTACCTTAAAATAAAAATGAAAAACCGTGGGACATACGCCAGCACCAGTCCAACAACAAATAGATAAATATATATATATATATATATATATATATATATATATATATATATATATATATATATATATATATATGATAAATAAATATATTACATTAAAATAGTTATCAGTCAAAGGAAGATCAAGACGCAGGCGAAGTGACACAAACTAGATCCTAAAGTAAAACTAAAGTACCTACACTAACTCAGCACTAAGACCATCGTCTAACTTCCATCTAAATTAATCCACATTTTATACTGCCAGTACACCTAAACTCTCCATGCGGATCCACAGCTACACGACTCCGGTGCAGTCATTAGATAATCCACACAACACAGGAAAAAAACACCTTAAATATACAATTCGTACCACATCTATAGGCTTAATCAGGAACCTCAAATAAATGCAGAAATGGAAATGATTTCAGATTCCGCTCATTCAGCAAGACAGTTGGTGTTTATGAACCATCGAAACGAAGCCTTGAAAGCAGCGCAGATAAAACACGGCGAGATCACTTCCCATAATCATCAAACGCGCTATACGCTTCGTGGCAATGCGGAGCTTCATCGTGTGCACTGGTTTTCCGTGCGCGTATCGCGGGCGGCGCACTGGCTTCCAGCGCAGACTGGGAACACGCTCCGCCCAGGGGGTGGCGGCGAAGCTGACAGCCAAGGAGATGGTGTAAACACCGGCTCTAAAGGAGCCTCACGGATAGTACAGGGGCTGCACGCAACGATCTCCGAGAAAATAGACAAGGAGCTGTACTTGATCGGAGTACTGGACCAGTACCGCACTGGGACGCCGCATACATGGAGTACAGGCAACAGGGTGAGTGCGCTGCAATTTCATACTACAGGTGGCAAGACAGCGTCAAAAATCAAGTTATTTCCTTGCACACTAAGAGATGAAACCTGTACTGCTGTGCCATTAGTTGAACGAATGGCTTCTGGTAGAATTGCACTGAAATCCGAAGTCATTTGTCACGTAACTAAAACGACGCCGGCATATTTATCATGATCGATGGGTATAACTATGGTTCTAACTGTGGTTCTATATATATAAATATTTATGTAAGACCGTGTATTTTATACTTACTTTTATGTTTATATGTCTATATAATACGTAAAACATGATTCTTCAACGGGCAATTGACTGGTTAATGAGTAACTTCGATATATTTTTATTAACGCATTCTCGATAAAAACGTTATTTAGAGAGAACTGAGATGCTTATTTCCATCATCTGCCATAGCGGAGAAAGAAAAAGAATAAAAACTTACCAAAAAATGTAGGTCATACACGCGAAGAAAAGTTTTTATTGTTCTATTTTGTTCCTTTACCTTGGCTGGACAACGTTAAACCAAATTAGCTGAGCTGAAAGCGACTTAAGGTCTGACCTCATCCATTAACCATATGATCGACTCACATGATCACCTGACCTGAACTTAATTGAACTATTGTGCGTGTTGAGTGTCCCCCAGTAAAAAAATATAATCTCTTATGGTAAGTATACGGGTCCACTGACACACTACGATCTCTGACACAGTCTAGAAAAACAGAAGTAAAGGGTAATGAGATCTTTTAAAAGGTGTTGAATCGCAGTAGTGGCCGTAGCGCGCCGCATGTATTGTGGTTATTCCGCTGTGGCGTGATGCTCTGTCCCCATGACATGTGCGTGTTTGTGATTTGCTCTCTTGTCTCTTGTCTTGTCCTGGCCGTTTGGATCTTTAATGGGACAGAACTGTACTCTAGCGTTTTGACCCAATGGGGTAAGACGTGAGAAGTGATGCGTGTTTCTCAGAGACATCTTTCCGGGAGCCAACCTGTCCTTGATCTATTATTATTATTATTATTATTAAAATTATTTTGTTATTATTATTATTATTATTTATTTTTCTGCGTGTTTCTATTTCAAATCTTCCTCTGTGTATTTTTGCACCTGCATGACGTGAGTGAAAAATATACTTCCCGCTAACTGATAAATTTCGTTACTGTATGATATTTTATAAATAACAGCGGCGGGGTCAGTGATGCGAGTTTGACGGTAAACCGCCAGGTCTTCAGTATTAACCTGTAGCACTGACCAGGGGTGTAGCCAGAGACGAGTGGGGGGAGGGTGATGGTAAACCATTCAGGACTTAAACCAATAAATATGCATTGATTTTGGGGTGGAGGTGGGGGGGGGGGGGGTTGTTACCCCTGGACACCCCTGGGTGAGAAATTGTTCGCGATAAATTTCACAAAGATGACATGATATTTCCTTCACTTTTCTGCAAAACCATGAAGGAGAAAGAGGAGAGCTGAGACCAGGTATGCTGAATGTTTTATGACGGTCCTTTATCTTTGGTGATCTTGATAGATATGGATGGACCTGCTGTTCCTTGTAGAATGTGAGAATTTGGAACATTCTCATGGAAAGAACGTCTGTTGCGCAGACTAACTGAATCCTTTAGATATATGTAGTTGTGAGATAGATTATGCTTGATTCAGGTGATATGGTGTGTAATTGTTCTAGGTGCTTATTCTAGACAACATTAAATGAGCACACTGCCGGAACCCATCAATACAAGGAAGCTGCTTTTAACTGACAGCTCATTAATATTTGTTCAGCATTAAAGAATGATTTGCCTGGGATACTCATTTGCATGGACTGACATTTGTACTAAACCTAGTACAATGGATGGAGTTAGATGCAGTAAGATTATCCCTGTGGCTGTTTAATGCAGCAGTAACCAAATTATGTAACATTTTGGAAAGGTAGCATTCAGCTGTTGCTTCACCGTCATTATGTACGTAATTATTTTATGTTTATTTTTTAATCTTTATCTATTATTAGCTGCTGTGACCAGGTGGTGCTTAAACTGTAGGACAAACTGAGAGCTCAAACTGTCCCAAAACGAGGAGTAGTGGACATATTTCCTGGGTAATTTACTGTCGGGCTGGATGTGGCGACTTTATGTGACGTTTGACTGAAGCTCGGTCAGTTTGTGCTGTACAGTAGAAGTAAAATCACTCGACAGAAACACTGTAGCTTGTTTTGAATCGTTTGAATATAATCTGGAGATTGTAGACAGATTACATAACAATTCCTTGCCGGAAAATGTCAAAGATGTCGTCAGTATATTGCTGCGCATGTTAGCTGAGGGCAGGCAATCAGAGACTGCTTTGTGTCCGTCACTGGGGGCTATAAGTGACCTAAATGCTTGATTTATGTTTTTTCCAATAATCAGTCCGGGGAAAAGGCCCTTCTTCTGTCGCTTTAGTAGCCTTGACGCACACGTTCACTCCTGACGCTCTAGTAGGCAGATTCATAGCTGTAACCTTCCCTGTAGCCTTTGGGTTGTGGCTAATCTGTCATCGCCTGGTCACACTGAGGCTGTGACAGCACCAAGGGACCTCAGCTGGCCCCAGACTGTCCCGCCCACAAACTGGCATCGCAGCCAGAAGGCCGCCCTTTCAGATTATCACCTGGATAACAATGTGTGGCGTCGGCACGTGCCCAGTTAGGCAGGTGGCAGGTCGTTGTAACCGACCAACAGAGTTAAACACCAAATGCCGAATAGCATGTCAATGTGGAAATGAGTGCATCCAATAAGTTGACTTTATTATGACACTCCGTTTCTGAAAACTCTTTTCCGCTATAGTAATCCATTCATTCTTTGTAACTCCATGTCCAGTACAGGGTCACATGAGCCTGGTGTGAATCGCAGGATTCATATGGCTGGAAGGACACCCTGGATGGGATGCCAGTCCATCTCCGAACACACACATACACACACATACTATGGACAGCTTAGAAAAAACTATGGTTCCATCCTTCCATCCATCTTCTAAATAGAGATGAAAATTTAAGGTCCAGAAAGTAAAAATCCAGGCCAGGATTTTGTTTCAACCAACTAATTGAGTTGTGACTGTGATTCTTTATACTCAATTGGTTGGTTGAAAGAAAAATCTTGGTCTGGATTTGTACTTTCTGGACCTGAACTTCATATTTCTGCATCTGAGTATTAATCCAGAGCAGGACTGCAGGACACCAAACACCAAGAGCCATATTCCTTATTTTTTTAATTTAATTACTATGGTCCCGGGATTGATAATGAATTGAAGATGTGGGTGTATATCTTGCATATTTCCGCTTTTGCACATCTCAGTTTTCCAGCTGCCTCTCTGAAGGGCTTTGTGCTGTAAACTGCCGCTACAACGACTCAACAGAGATCTTCGGACAGTAGAGACCCACCGACCTGGCCGGCAAACACGATGTGGAAATGTTCTAGTCTGAATCAAGATGACGCAGGACCTGGGTGGTGCTGCAGCGGCAGTGAGCTCTTCCTCTCACCCAAACACTAGCTTCTGGTTTGCTTTTTGTTTCCCAGTCATTTTCTTGTGGTGAAAGGCTTTACTGTAAGGGAACGTGAAAGAGGAATACATTCACCATCAGAAAAAAAATAGGAAAATATAATGTTTGCATAGCGGTTATAAAGCCTTTCAAATACTACACACATTTCTTAAGCATTGCCCTCCAAGGACATTCGTTGATATAATTTCAAGAGGATTGTCTCACTAGATCCCATTAAAAAAAATGTTAGTTTAGTTTGTGCAGTATGGAGACGGAGCTGAATTTTGAAGTATAAATATGCTTTCAGAAAAGATAATGTTTTACATTTTATTTTATTTTTTTAGTCTTCAGTCTTGTAAAAGTTTTCATGGTTTTGTGACTTTCTGAGATTATTCGTGTAGAATTCACTTCACCCCTAGTATTGTTTACTATGGAGCTGGACGCAAAAAAAGTTTTAGAAAAGTGCAGTTCGGCAAGAGGGCACAGATGAAGCAGAGCTTCTTACGGCAGCGAAGGTCACCTTGATTCCTTGTTATGTTTGATAGGGTTGATACGGCATGTGACAAGTAAGTAAACAGAATATGATAATTATGAGATCTGTGGAGTAGGAGGCATGTTGCTAAGCAACATAATTACAGTCAGCGGTTAGGGGAAGCTTTTTAAAACGAGCTGTTGTTCCGTTTCTTTTGCAGTAAGGTACAGAACTCTGTGAAAAGACAGACTAAATCTGATCTGATTAAGCTACCCTAAAAATGTTTATCCGCATCCAGATCATTTAACATTTACCAGCATCTGAAATTCTCTAGCAAATGAGGAATCTGAGTACAGTAGTTTCTAGAAAAAAATATCTCTTTTTTTCTTAGATTTTAAAGACCCACTTGATTTTATTCTAGATGGATGGATGGATGGATGGATGGATGGATGGCACTTCAGTGTAGTTTTGCACTTGCCTAAGGCTTTTCCTTACATTTTTCCTTCGGATCAGGACCCATTTAATTATATTAGTTATTTCTCCTCTGCCAGAACAGATAAATCACCATCGCCAAGGAGAATCTGATCGTTATCAAAGAGCAACAGCATTTGGATCCTCTCTTTAACACCTAATTCCAGCATCCTCGAAAAGCTTTTCCTGCAGTCAATAAAAATAGCATTTCTGGATTAACTGAGTAAAATCTAGATTATTTTCAGTGAAATTTTTCATCCTATAACAACACTGAGATAAATTGACTGAGGAGTTTGCTGTGGTATATTTTTTGCATGTAACCTTTTCTTTCCTTTTCCATACCTGGTGTACAGCACCCTGTCCTTCGTTTATTTAAACCCATTTCTGAGGATAATAGTTCCCTGTGCCACCTGCCACTCTGACCCGTTTAGATTCAGCATCCATGTGTATCAGAGCACAGGGCACAGTGTCTGTTTGCGGTGTCAGTCGGGCCTGCAGTTGTGGCAGCGCCCTTTCCGTGGCAGAGCAATATGGCGCCGGCCTGTTCTTGTGAAATATTCCAAGATGACTAGACCAAGAGTGGAACGCTCCTGTTTCAGGAACCCGTTTGTGACTGATAGAATGCTCCCGGCTTTGGATATAGCGAGGGATGAAAATGAACACCTCGCTCTCACAGACGTGGGTCGCTTTACACATTTAACTCCCGGGGACAATGCCGAACGGGGCATAATTACGAATGAATGAATTGACAGGATAGCATTTAACCTGAAGTAGCAGTTAGCTGGAAGCTTGCTGGCTGCCTGTATCACAGCATGATGCGAGTCTCACTGAGCCCTGGTTTCCTTCGGTTGCTTCATTGCCTTGTCGGCGCTCCTACAAAACATTTCTTTGGTAAAGAGCCATCTTACCAATACTGATTTCACTGTCTGACTCATTTTCTGTAAAAATATGAGTTTTCGGTAAGCAATGTTGCCCACGCCCTTAATTCTAGACCCCCCAAGGCAGAAAGAAAGGTACAATAAAATTAAACTGGTTGTTGTTCTACTTTTCAACATCTCAGAAATCTTGGAAAATCTCCAGGACTTTGTTTTTAAAATAGATCAAACTTTTGGTAGAGGGACACAATTTATTCATTTTGACTGTCGTTTTTGAAAGTACACATATAATACAGTCATCTCCCTGTGCTTGTCATGGCATCCAGGGACCTTCCTCTATTTGCATCTTGATCTCTTCATTAGATCAGCCGCTCTGTACTCGGGCACGATGAGATATTTGTACGTGACTGAGATCCTCCCAAACATATTCCCTGTGATGTTAATGTGTTGACATTCAGAATGCAAACTAAGTTTGCCTTCTTTGTATTTAGATAGTGTGTGTCTCTGCAGGTTATGACTCATTAACCAGTAGGTCACTGGTTCGAATCCCATGTGATTTCTCCATTGAGTCCTTAAGCAAGGCTCTTAACCCGAATCGTTCCAGGCACCAGCTGACCCGACGTTCTTAACTGTATGTTGTTTTGGATAAACATGTAAGCTAAGTAAACAAATGTGAAAGTCTTTAGCTGACTTTGTAATGTTTGGTGAATTGTGGGTCGAGTTCAGTACTGCTCCTAGCCCACGTGGTGCCCTAGGCGACCGTCACCACCAGCGCCTCCCGTCTAAGGCAAGTGAAACTGACTGGCAAGTCGGTGCCCCCTAAGAAGTTGTTGCCCTAGGCAGCTGCCTATGTCACCTATAGCACTGACCAGCTCTGGTCGTGTTAAACTCCCAATTTAACACGACTGCTTAACACAGCTTCTCAAGATCGATCACTGTGGAAGCACACGTTCTTTCTCAGGTCCAGATCAGGCAGTCAGATTAGGGGAATCGATCATTGTTTTATTGCCACCCCTCTGCTGTCTGCTGAGCCGAATCCATAACTCTGCGTAAATCCCATTTACTGGCTAATATGTCTCAGTCTTTGTAGCAGACCCCTTAAATATAGAGGCAAGGCTTGTGGCTGCTTCTCGCAACAGTCGTTCATTAGGTGCTGGAAAGGTGCACTTTGTCACTCAGTGTAAATCTGTTTTCAAGTGACTGCCATCTAGGTACATCTGGAACCCCTTCATGTATAAGGGTATCTGGCTCATTTGGGGCTGCTTGATTCAGATCTGCCTGGTCAGCGGCTCTTTTTTTCATTTAAACCTGCTTTGTTATTCAGAGATTTAGTCCAATTTTAATATCCAGGGCTTCTAAACACATTTGGAACAATGTGGTTGCTCCTTTTCCTCTATTCCCCTTTTTCAGCGGCATCCTTCAATTATGTATGAAGGAAGATAAATTTGTGATGGGAGCAGGAAATAACAAGGAGAATTCTGTGGATCTTTGTCCTTCTGTGCCCTGTTTAAACAGCCCCAAAGTCAAGCTGTAATAAAACCACTTACACAGGAATGTGAATATTTGGTTACCTTATGCCTTAATGTTCATGTGGAGCTCATGGTGCTCCCTGAGTGCACTGTGAAGGTTTTAATCTTCTCATTTTTCCGCCTTGTGGTGCAAATCCTTGTCCTTTTTGTTTGTAGCTCTATGTGTTACGTTTGCAAAGTTCGTTTGTCTTTTTCGGGAAAAACCTGCATTAGGGAATTTGGTTGGTATTTTTCCCCTGGGTTTGATTCTTATCGTTCCTCTTGCACTCTGTCCCAGTCTTTCTGGAACCAGAGCCTCTGAAGGAGTTGGATGAAGATCTGGTGTCAGACTTGGAACTGAACAATGGCATCACTCTGGAGGAGAGGGAGGAGAGGGAGGAGATGCAAGCAGAGCTGGCCAAGGTAGCCATGTTTGCCATCATTATGCACCGTACTAGACCATGAAATGAAATTAAATGAAATGGGGAAATGAAATTTAAAAGGAAATGAAATGACACTTTGTTTGCCATTTGCCATTTGCATAAGGTACACTGGATTGCTTCTTTTCACAAATCCCATCCTGTTCTCCTTTCAGATATACTGTACACATACAGTGCTCATAGAAAGTCTTGGGACGCTTGCTTAATTCAGCAAAAATATTGCAAATTTATTAGTTTTATAACAAATTTATTACTTAATTGAAACCCAAATTATAGTTCTAAAAGAGCTTTTCTGAGTTTAAAAAGTTTATTGGCAAGCAATCTTGTTGGATACTTTTTAATTAGTAAGACCTTTGCAGTAACATAAAACACCAAACATTTGTGTTGAGTATCCCATTGGGAGCCAATGACCACAATTGTGATTAAAAACAGAATAGCAGGAACAACTGAATGAGTCAGTCAAAAATATTATGAGACAATAAATAGAAAATATCTATGTGGAAGATGTGTGCAGATATGTTAAACATTGCTTGTCAATGGACTTTGTTATGAAGCCATTAAATATGCAACATTTTTGTAGAATTAAGTAAGCATGCCGAGACTTCCTATGAGCAGTGTATATACAGCTGAGAGAGGAGTGCGTGTGTTGGGTCAGGGCATTCATCCGGCAGCCCTGCAGCATAGCTCACAGGATGAACGCCGCCCGGTTTGCACACGTGCCTGATTTCGGGTGAAATCAAAGTATTCCTGCATGCCGGACGCATTTTGTCGTGCATGTGCGCAGTGACAATAAAGTTCACTTTGACTTTTGACTTTTAGGGCATTGATTGGATCAAACAGTGCGACAGATGGGGGTGGGCGGAGCTCTAGGATAAACAGAGGCTAAGGCCACGTGACAAGGCAGCTCAAGATCTGGGTCCCGCGGTGATGCTCCTATGACAAGTGGCTCATAATAATTGAGTAATTTTGAAAAATATTGTAAATAAACAGCTCAAGGAGGGGGTAAAATGCAAAAAATATATATTTTACCCTTTCTTTAGATGAAAGGAACTGCTACAAAATTATGGCAACAACAATATTAATTGAAGCAAGTGCAAGGAACGTGACTTGACCATTTCTTGGAATTTCCATGCTCTAAATGCTAATGCCTTTCATCCGTGAAACACACCCTACACAGTTACTTAGCTGAGAGCCGAGGAACATTGTCCATTGAGGATTAATATAGTCTATTCTTGGGTGGTGTCTGCTGACTGGCGCTGTTGGTTATGAATCCATTAGCTAAAGAACAAGTTCCACTTCTGCAGATGTATCTTCCTGAGATTAGATGGTAATATAAAACCCCAGCATCTTTGGCATGAACATGGCAGAGATCCATCAGACCAACAAGCCATTAAATATCTTTGACACCCTTGTCTCCGTACCACAGCTGGAAGAAGAAATCGCCACCCTGAAGCAAGTCTTGGCCGCCAAGGAGCAACATCAAGCTGAGTTGAAGCAGAAGCTGGGAGTAACACCCCTCAGTGACTTGCGGCAGAACTTCAGCAGGAGCTGGCATGATATGCAAGCTTCCACAGCGTAAGTGCATTGACGCCCACCGCTCTCCTCCAGTCCTCTTCCAACTTATCCCATCATGCAACGTTTTGTCTTCTGCAAATGTATACCTAATTCTCCACTGATATCTTCTGACAATACATTATCAATAGAGCAGGCTGTTTCCATCGCACAGATGTTTATACAAACACTTGCAGATGCCTAAATTGCAATGCTAGTGAAAGTGAAAGGTCGGTGAGTTACAGTTATTTACATGTCATGCAAAGTCTTTCAGAAAGACCAGGACTTTGGCGCACTCGTCACTGCGCACACCTGGGTCTGACATGGCTGGCGGGGAAAGACTTCCCGTATTGCCAGTTTCTTTTTCTCACTGAATGCTGAAGTTCCACGAAGCTGAGCTCTCCACAAGTTTCATTTCTGCTTCCTCTTTGTCCTCCAGCAGTAGGCTAAGTGCTGACATTTGGCTAATGCTTAGATCTGATTAGTCATCTTGACCTCTTCTTTTGCTCAGGCCCACTACAAGGTCTTAGTGGTAACGCTGGTATCTGTGTGACTTTAACACTGGTCACCAGGGTAGGAATCCATGGAACCAGACTTGGGGAAGCAGACAGTGAGTCAGATGAATAATGTTTATAATACATTAAATCTGAAGTGGAAATAAACAGCTAATTAGCCAAAACTCTCATTACTAGAGCCAGATGGTATGCAAATGTGATTTCCTTTAGTAGGCAAAGTAGTATTATTTCATTTTTTAAAATAATTGTAGCAACACTATCAAATTTAACCTTCAATCAACTTGATTTGTGTGATTTCTTAAGGCTCAAAAGCACTATTTAGTTTAGTCCATTTAATCTTCATTAGTGTGAATTTTTTCTTAGTTTGTTGATTTATTTATATACTTTCTGCAGTAAAATGGGCTCTCACTCTGCTTGATACATTCCTCTTTTCATGCACCAGAACAAGAACCTAGAGAAATGGGGTCTTTGAGCTCTGAGTGTACCTGCGATGGTGAACGAGCAGTCAAGCCAGCCATGTGCAAAAAGCAAAGAAGGGATGAGGGGGCATGTATTGTGATGCCCCTGAGGTGTTTTTCTCTTGTCAGCGGAAATAAGCCAATACAAAGAGTTATGTGGAGTAACACAGGCTAATGCTTCCTCTCTGGGGTCAAGCAAGCCTGTTAGCACTGTTACATCATCAGCAAGCCTGTTTGCACTGTGACATCATCAGTAAGCTTGTTTGCACTGTGACATCATCAGTTTCTGACCTCAGCAGTGCTAGTTTACTTAGTAAAAATCTGTGCTTGACAAACCAGTTTAAATCTCCTTTAGCTGGGTGCAAGTCTGCTTAAAATATGGATCATGTTGCAGTTCTGCAATTTCGCTGATCATTAATTAATTGTTCCAGTGAACAGTATAGTTACTTGGTTACTGAATCACTAGCCTGTCACTTGCTGTTTTCAATGGGTCCTATTCTGAGATAATGGTTGCCATGGCGCCGGCCACCTGGGACAAAGGTCCTAGAGATCTAGTTGCAGTGCTGGGATCATTGACCAAGAGGGTGTCCTCCATAGGTAACAAATATGGCACAGAGGTGCGGGGTTCACAGACTGTACCTCAAACCTTCAAACCAGTAGATTTCCTTCAAGTATGGATATGCAGAAGCCTGACAGTCTGATGGGTATCCACCACCTGACCCTGGCAATCATGTGAACAAGGTCACAACAAGGTCACTCAACTTTGGTTTCTCTGTGATTTTGTTGACTTCTACACAACAAAGAGATTTAAAGACTCTGCTGTTGTATATTTAAAATGCCTTGACAAGCATTGTTTAAAATTGGGATAGTGGCTTCTAAGTGGCACTAGCCCTTAAAATAGCCCTTTTATCAACTTGACTTTCTTGGAGAGGATGAAGACGTGAGATTGCTTCCGGGCAGCATGGAGACATTTTCACCACAGCGTATAGTTTTACGTGCCACTGGTTTCACTAATGCACTGCTCTCCCTGAGAGCCCCAGAGGACGTCGCTCTGAAATTCATCCTGCAGCCCAGGCTGTTAGATGAGGAAATGGAGGAAAAATCAATCGAAGTCCTTGATTGGCCTAGCCTTGGGAGATATTTTTGGGATTCTCATGAAGGATATTAACCTGGGTGGCCGAGGGAACAGCATCATGCTGGAATTTGATTGGACATCTGTTCCCTGTTTTATATTTTTGGATTTCATTTGTGACCCAGCTTTTCTTCAGAGGAGAGTCAGACATGTAAGGTGGGGGGGGGGGGTTCTCTTGCTGCTGTTTGTATTGAAATGTCATTGGTTTTATCCAGATCCCTCCACGTTTGATTTGTTGGCTGTGAGAATAGAATCAACCTGCCGCCTGTCCAGATCCTCTCAGCCGACCCCCCTGCCACAAATGTAACTGCTGTAGCTCTTCTTAGTGAAATTAGACTTGATATACTGGCACACAGCCCCTCCCCCCCCCCGGGTGCCCCTTGGCCTGGGATAATCTTCCTTGCCATCACCCTCTAGCAGAAAAGTAGTTATGGGAGATGGACAGACGGACGGACGGGACCAGACCGGACCAGACCAGACCGGACCGGACGGACCGGACCGACTGACTGACTTGACTGATTGACTTGAACATTTTCAGCATGACTACCCAGGCCCAGTCACCGATGAGCCTGTGCTGTCTCTGGACAGGTACAAAAGGACCTCGGAAACACTAAGTACGGCCGGGCAGAAGACCACAGAGGCTCTCAGCACCTTGGGCACGGCGATCAGCAGGAAGCTGGAGGACGTCAGGTACGGCGGGGGCCATGCTCCCTCCCCCTTTACTGATCTGCACGCTACGTCCCCAAATTAGCCGCCCTACCGCACTAAACTCCCACCTCGGCAGCTCAGTGCCGTCCCCGGTGTCTCCTAACCCTGTCTGACTGCTACAGTCCACCATGGCAACCGGGTGCGGGGGGGGGGGTGCGGGGGGGTGCGTGCGGTAGTGCAGCTCACGTAAGGCGCTGAAGATAAGCCGCTTCCCTGGGGCCTCGGTGCTTTAACGGTCCCTCATTTCCGTCTCGTCCAGCAGCCGCGGCGCAGTGAAGGCCCCTCCCTCCTTCCCTCCTTCCCTCCCCCCCCCCCCCCCATCACGGTGGCACCGCCAGGCCCATATAATGGCCTCAGATGCCGATTTTATAACCGCACCTGTGAAAGGCGATACCTACTAGCTATGTGAGCTGACTGTGCCATAATACCCCCAGCACCAGTTCTTGTCTCCTTTTGCAACCGATAATAACTTAAATTAAAACGAATTGCTTGCTATGTTTACAGTATATGATGACTAACGGTGTTTACTTTCTGCACGTGTGGGTTTGTTTTCAGCTTGTTTATTGTCTCTGTCACTTGGAACTGTTGTAGCTTCTTTAGCATTTAGCGTAAAGGGCCGTGTTTAATGTACATAAATTATGTCTCTTTTTTTTTATTATTGCATTTGCGTGCTTGATTGTTGCAATGGAACACATGACCTCACGCTGCCCCTGCACTGCCCCTTGTTTTTCCTGCTTGTGCATCAGCTCGTTCGGCCTCCAGTTTCTGTACGGGCAAAGGTACGGTGCCGGTGTGTTTGTGTGTGACGTGGAATCGATACTTACAGTGTGAATGACCTGAAGATCTGCAGCTCCGAGTCACTGACCCTTTCGGCTCATTCGCCGATTAGTTTGGTCCGTTCGCTGGTTGAACTCCATCAGTCTCACTTCCCCAGGACTCGTGCTTCACTTACACAGACAGCTGGACTGTGACTCCTGCTTTAGGGGCACTAAGCTGCGATTGTGAAATCATATTGTAAAAAGACAGTGTTAAGAGGAGATCATTTTAAAATGGAATTTCAGTGTTAGGATTTTTTTTTTTCCCCCAAGAGGACACTTTCCAGATCACATCAGCTGTCTTTCATTGAGGAATCACTGTCTTCAGCCCCTGCTGCAACATGTGCTTTCAGTGCAGCTTGTTCTGGTCACGAGCACTAAATGAGTTTGACTCCATGCTGGCAGTGTCACTGGTGCCAGCTGAACACCGCTGTTACATACTGGCAAAAGGGTGGGGGGGGGGGTGCGGTGCTCCAGGGGTTCACAGCAGCACCATCCTCACAGATAGCGCCCCCTAGCAACCACCCAGATGTACACACCAGGGATTTTGTTTTATTAACTGCCCCCCTAATTATCGAGGTCTGACGCTGCGTACGCCTGCCTTGGCTGCCGGCCCCCGCCGCTTCCCCGCATGTCGCCGTGTTGCATGCGCATTTTCGCTGTTTGACTGTCGGATTGCGTTTGGTTGGTTGTGTGGATTGATGCTGTGCACAGAAGAACCACTCAGAAAGCTGAATGCCTGCCACAGTTTTTTGTTTCTTAGTAAAGTCTGCCATTTATGAGTCTTTTAAGTTACAGTTTACTTACTTAGCAGACAGTTTTAGCCAAAGTGATATACGGTTGAGAAGCCGGGGTCAAAAATTCCCTGGACCAATTAGGAGTTAAGGGCCTCTCTCAGGGGCCCGATGGTGACATCACTCCGCTGAGCCTGGGATTTGAACCAACCACCTTCCAATCACAGGCACAGCATCCTATCCCAGGGCAAGGAAGCCATGTTTCGTCTCATTCTGCCTGTGCTGGTCATTCACATCTCCTGAATGTGTTGGTGTGTGTGTGTGGGCATCTATATATTACATTGTGGGGCCCAAATGTCCCCACAATGTGATAAAAACATGTTCTTTTGACCTTGTTGGGACATTTTTTCCTTCCCCACAAGGGGAAACTCAATTTTATAAAAATCTGTGAGTGCAGTCAAAAAACTAAAATAGTCTCGTATTTTGTTTGGTTACTTATGGTTAAGGTTATGGCTGGGTAGGGGTTAGGATTGTTGTTGCTGCGATAAGGGTTCTTCATATAGCAATGAATGGACGGTCCCCACAAAGATATGAGTACAAACGGTGAGGTGCTGGCCTGCTTGGCTTCCTTGTGGAGCTCCAGCGTACTCCAGCGACCTTCAGGGTCCAGCTCTCCAGCCTGTCCGCTGACCTGCATGAATTCTTATGCTCTTTCTCCCTGTTTCCTCCCTGTGCCTCAAAAGATCACAGGCCATCGGGTAAGGCTTCGTATTTTAATGGAGATGTTCATTTTTAATCCCTGATACTTCTACACCGTGGCACACCCCCACCCCCAGCCCCCAGCCCCCATTACTTTTCTGTGCGCATTATGTTTGCATAATAAGCAGATAGATATCACTTAGGGTTGGCCGTCACTATGGCTCAGCGTCATTTGACTTGCAAGTTACTTTTACAATATAACGTGTCAGCCCCTCAGGTTAGGAAGATGTGCTCTATAAACTATCCGCTTGTTACCGGAAGCATTGGGCAGTGGCTGTTTTCGTTTTTACAGTCCCTGACACTTAATCTTCATGAAGGAGGCAGCATGGAGCCGCCAGAGCCATCAGGGGATAAATAATTAACAGCGTTACTGCTTGACAGCTAAATATTTAATTGCGGGAGAAAGACAGTGGTGTGGTGTTTCTGTGCCTCGGCTGTGATTGGCTCAGGATTTAGGCTATTAGTGTAAGGATACTTCCTGTCGGGAGTAGAGGGCATTGGGGGGGGGGAGGGGCGGCTTGGAGATGGGCATTAATGATGTAATCCTGCTCTCACCCGTACCACGCTCTCACGGAGCAGCTACTCAATCCGGGAGTCGATGAGCATGCCTGCTATGAGGTAATCCGGTAGACTGGCTGTCATTACCACAGAGTTATACATAATCTTGGTGCATTACTGTACATATTCACCATTTTTATCCCAAAGCAACATACAATTGAGAAAGTAGGGCCAGAGTGTCTCTGGAGAAATTGGCTTTAGGGCCCGATGGTGAAAACCGGAAAACCATCCGTTTTTAGTCTCTAAACCCGCTGAATCACACCCTGCCCCCAATTAGCAGATTGTACATTAATTAGTTAATAAACTGAATCAAGTTCTTACATCTCACATCTAGCAGAATATCTCCTCTTCTCCATTTAATACATGAGGCTATTTAATAAGAATTGTGTAGATACTTGTACCCTGCTTCAATGACAACCATTTAAGTGTTTTGTCGTAAAAAATATTTATGAGAAATAATGAGTATTCAGAATTCAGCAGTAGTTTGATTCAGCTACATATGGATACAAAAAAAATCATCAATGAATGTGTATATTGCTCTTTTAACTGTTTGTATTTTTTCTTTTAGAAACTCTACCAGTTTCAGGTCTTTTGAGGATAAGGTCGAAAGCACAGTTTCCAACTTAAAGGTACATTACTTTGTTGATGTCGTTGGTCTTTGTTGATCTCTAACGAATGGCTTTCTCACCTTGTTTGCCTGAATCTGTTTCTGGATCAGTCCAAGGTGGGTGGGAACAGCAGCGGGGGAAGTTTCGAGGAGGTTCTGTCCTCCACCGCCCACGCCAGCATCCAGGAAGTCCCCACTAACGCCGTCACGAGCGAGAGCGGCGAGCGGACTTGCTAACGACTGCCGCGGGCCTGCAAGCCGTAGTTTCTTCACGGCGAGAGGATACAAGGCCCCACACGAGCACAGATAGGCGGCCAGCTCTGCTGCATGATCCTTACCCTGTGCTACCATTGTACTGAAATCCTAACCAAAAAAAATGTGTCATTTTCATGCTAATACTTCAACATTTTTGCAGTTATATAATAGTAGCACTTGTGTTCATTTTGCAGTATGGGTGTATCTGGTTAGTTTACAAGGAATGTTGACTTTCACTCCTCCTATAAAGGCACTAAAATTAAGCTTTAATTGCCGTTTGTGTGAGTATGAGTCCTGGTGCACCGGGATACTTTTTGCTCACTCTTGTCTGAAACATACAGGTAAGAGCGAAGCGTGGGGTCTGAGTATAAGGTCATCTATTCATCCCCCTGGAGCGTTTTTTTGGGGGGCTTGCAGGCCCACCAGTGACTCCAATGAGGATGGGACTCAAACCAGCAACCTTCTGGTAATAAGCACAGAGGCCTAACCCACTGAACCACACACTACTGTGGCATTTTGGTTTCAATCAGTCTCACCTGTTTTATTCTATTAGTTACCCAATGAGAATTAACATTCTAGGGTTATTTAGGTCCAGGTATGTGAGATTTACAAAAATGCGGCAGACAAACAGAGTGCAGCTCCAATCCCTGTGTGCTTTTCGCAATCAGCCAGAAAGTAATTAGGATCGAAGAACGAGACAGGCGTGCCTCTTCATCCTATCAGTACCACTCTTACCTGCTCGCACCAGAAGTCGGCATTTATTCCTTAATGGCGGATCGTCAGAAAGTCTGCAGAATGTCAGAATATTGCACTGCGAGCCTGCTGTGATCGTCACGATGGTCAAACGCTTGGCATTCTCACCGTTTCTATGGAGAAGCCCAGTGAACTTCGTAACGTCTGAAACTTTTACCAAGATGTTATATACAAGTTTGTACCTTCCGGCTAATTAGAGTATTTGGTCTGTGTCTGTACCATGCTTTGCAGTTTTAATATTAAAGTGTTTTGAGTTTGTCATGTACTGTATTTTGTTCACATTCTAAATGCTTTTACTGACTGGTTTTTACAGGGTTCTGGGATAATGTACTTTTCGATCGCTGTGCACCTGTATATGGATGTTGTGACAATAAAACCCACTTGATTTATAATTTACTTGGATGAGGTCACAGACACAAAGTCTTGATAACAGGCCGGCTGGCAACTTTTATCTCCAGAACAAATACACAGTATTTTATAAATAAGGGACAAGGATGCCATCTTCCTGGTGATCAAAGCTATGCTTCTGAGCGAATCAAGTGAGTCTCTGCTGCCCTTGATTATAAATAAGGGGTTAGAGGTCACATGGTATCAAGATACGCCGCTGGGTGATTGGCTATCAGTGCTCAGAGTCTTTGCGAGAGGTCCCTCCCACCGCTGCCATGTGACCAGTTCGCTCTTCATTCAAACTCCTGACCAGCTGAAGGACTTCTGGGTGGCTGAACTTCCCTGTGTTAAAAACAAGAGCATGTTAAGGTCATCAGTCAGATGGACTTTTAAAATCTGAGGACTCACGTTACACAGAAAACACTAGTGGCCACATAATGACCCAAAGTGAATTGTGGGAAATGCAGTGATGTCGTGCCTTTTGTGGAATCAAAAAACTCCTGCAGCTTCCCAGGTTTCTTCTCCAGCTCCTCGTACTCGAAGGCCTGCAGGATCATCTCCAGCTGATCCAGCTCCTTCACCAGCTTGGCCTCGGGGCTCGACTGATGCTCGTACTCCTGTGTAAGAGGGTGTCAGACATTACAGTCAACAGATGATGATGATGATGATGATGATGATGACAACGACGTGTAAGAACCCTCAAACTCACTTCCCACAGCCCATAAATCTCTTTCCGCTGATCATCCCCAAGCAGTCCAGTTAGGTGCTTCATCGCTTCCTGGGGAACAAAGTTGCAGTTGATTAATGATTATAAACAGTCAGAATAATTTTCTACTTGCATCTAATGGTTTGTGAACATATACTGTAAACAGTAATAGTTATGTAGCCAACATGAATGGTTATTCATTTCTTATTTAATAAAACCGTTAATCAAGGTGTTAGAAACCGATCAATTTCATACATACAAGTGGTATTATACTTTGGCAATTAAATAATTTTTACTTGAAAGTACAAAAATTTATTACTGCAAGTACTACCAGAAATGGAGTAAATTAATGAGGACAAACCTCCTCTCTTCTGTGCTTCTCTGCCTTGCTGACGTTATCTGCTGGTGCGATATCACCCACAATGCACTCGGCCATGTCATGGACCAAAGCCAGTTTTATGCACCTGAAACATGACACACGAAGGAAGACAGAGGTGTAAGGCATATCAGCCTTTGCTGTCTGACTGGGATAATTCTGAAATGAAACTGCATGGAACCAATGCTATCCGATTTAAGAAATATTTTCCCTAACAGAGAGCATGATAATACAAAAACAAGAGAAACGACATTAAATTCCCAGCAGTTAGTTTTTCAGCATGTTAAATCTTGATGCAGAAGCAATACAATTTCTCGATTTAAAAACATGTACAGTAGTTCAGAACAAAGGGCATCTCACACCCGATACGCCGCAAAGGGAACAAGCTGTAACGGACGAATGCAAAAATCAGCGTAGCGTAAATAATAGGGAATATGAAGGCAGCTGGGTGGGGGCAGGACGCGTTAACGTCTGCTCACCTGTCCTTGTTGATGGTGCTGTCGGTGATTGTTAGAGCCATCATGGACATCCTGTACATGTGATCGGACACACTCTCGGGCTTCTGGATGCTCTTATACACCCAGCCTGTCCGCGGGACACGCTGCATACATGCAGAGGATAAAGCTATCTCTATATGCATGTGTATATTTTCAGGAAAGTCCTTTAAAGTAATAAGTCCAATGCTCAACATACCGACATCATAGAAAAACTATAAGTATTCTCCCTTACCTTTAACTGCCCTATAAGTTTCATGAATTGTAGCATATTGCTCATCCCGACGGGTTCCATCGCTGTAACACTGACCCGGAAGTCTATGCTGCGACCCCCACCCCCCATTATGCAGTAACAAACATGACCAGTAGGTGGCGTACGCTCATCAAATACGCAGCGCTTAGCTTTTTAAATACTCGCGGGTCCTACAGGTGTTGCAGGCTTATTCCCAATTACTGCTACTAAAAGCCTGGTTTCGCTGGGAGTCGAAAAATATAGACCAAATACAAGTGTCATTGTATGTCGATCGTCGGGCATTTTTGCAGTAGTAAAATACTACAATTGTACCGTGAATTGATTAACTATATTGTTTACAAGTAATGCTGGGTGTTGACTTTAACTCCAGTGGTTTTAATCAATCTCGCCTGCTCTATGCTCTCTTGGTGAACTGACATGGGGCCCATGACAGCATATCATATTGGGCCCCCAACCCAAACCAGTCCAGTTATGTTAGTTTTTTTTGCACTGTGGCTCAGGGGCCCCTGGAATCGTCCTAACTGCGTCCAGTTACGGCCCCTGTGTGAGGTTAACTAACTCTTTATGAAAAACATTTCCTTGCCCGTGGCAGGTAGACACTGTTAGTGCAGGTCCAGTCTCTCGTCCTGCACTTTCGTGTGGGCACAAATCCCTGTGTGTTGTTTGAAATCAACTTGAAGATAAGTTAGATAACATAATCTGATTCTGTGTCCTTCTGGCGTTTGCTTACTGATGTTTCCAGAATAACTCAGAACTTGTGTTCGCGCTATTAAGTTAACAAGTCTGAATATGGGTCATAAAACCAATGATGCACAGGACATGTATGAAATATTATGCATGTCTTTTTCTACAAAAATCACCTAACTGAAGGGAGTTTAAAAGCATTGTGCGGTTTCGGTCTTGGCTGCCTCCCCTACGGCGCAGGGTGGCGGATAAACTTAATTACCGCGTATTAGCAATTGCGATCTCTGAAGAGTCACGGCATAATATATCAGTGGTCAGGTTAAAAATTGCCTAATTAAGGGCAACATGGCAGTCTAATTAAGGGTAATTAATTGCGGCACTTATGATGTGTCACGGTACGTTTTGCTTGTATGCAGAAACACACATCGCCAGTTCTGCACGCGTTTCTGCTGTACTAAGACAGCTTTTCATATTAATTGCCATTCCTGTTAGATACATTTGTTATTACATATCAGGGAAGGTCGGTCGGAGCCCATTTCATCCTTTAGAAGTCATGTCCTTGACTTAAGCGAAGTGCACAATGTTTCTTTTTTAATAGTAATAAAAAGGATTCCAGTCATACGAATGCGTGGATGGGCAAGAGCAGAATTGAAATAATTGTTATTGAAAGATAAACGTTTAAAAAAGTTTATATAAATCTAATTAGAATTAACTGACAGCCTAAATGTCATATGACTCATATTAGTCCTATAGTCTTGCGAGCAGATAAAATGACCCCCTTTTTATGTGAAATGATCGTTCAGTCGGTTCTCATTGACTCTCTCATGCGAGACCAATTGCGCTTCCTTCTTAATTCCGATCCATCCTACTCAGCTGGGTGGTCGGATTCACAGCTGCCTGAACGTCCTCCTTCGTGATGTCAGAGGATACAGACACCTTCCTTCCTGCCTGCGGAGCCCTGCTATATTCGGGCTGTCTGTTTACAGGGGAAGACCTGCGTGGTGTTAGGACTTGGGAGGTCGTGTCAGTCCTTCCCACCTGTACCAAAAAGCTTCCTCCTGACGTCACTTCCTGGAAGACGTGCACTGACTCAGGCTTCCAATGGGCTGTGGGGCTTCTTCAAGAGCTGTGCGCCCCGTTGCAGAGAAGGATGGAAATGTGACGTCGACATGATTCTTGAATATAATTGGCTTGCATGGATTGTAGATTATATGATTTGGGGATTTAGAGGGAAATATTTCATTCTCCTTTTCGCTTTGTATGAAATATTATGGCCATATACATGTATTGTTTGGTGGGGGGCTGCTAAATAAATCATCATCTATCCATCCATTTTCCATCTACCGAGTTCAGGGTGACAGTGAGTTGGAGTTTACCCCAGGAGAGAGAGGGCGAAAGCAGGGGACACTGCAGTACAATACAGCTGACCATGCAGTGGGCAGTTCAGACACCAAAGAACCTTACTGCATGTCACAAACCCCGGCCGGAGAGCCCTGCATTGTGCTCCATGCTGTCTGGGATGGTATGTCACCAGATGGGAGTAGTTCAGGTCCAGAGAGTAAAAGTCCAGACCAAGATTTTGTTTCAACCACCCAGTTCAGCACTCTGTGGCTGTGACTCTTTATACTCAGCGGGTTGGTTGAAACAAAATCTTGGTCTGGACTTTTTCTCTCTGCACCTGGATTACCCACCTTTGTTTGCTACCATGAGCCTCTGCTGGATAACTGGCTGGAATATGGATGGATGGATGTTCTTTACGATAATAATCAAGCTTTTAAGTACATTAAAATGCTTCTTTTCACATATCCCATCATGCTCTCCTCTGAGACACACACACCGGTGAGAGCATTTCTGGGGGTCTGAGCACAGGGTCAGGCCATTTAACCAGGACTCCTGGAGCATTCGGGGGGGTTAAGGGACTCGCTCAGGGGCCCACCAACCTGTTCTGGCAAGGTGGGGGGTGTAACACACTAATCCACACACCATCCCCTGAATCGGGTAATCGATGGCCAAAAAGCCATTTTAAGGTGTTGATTCTCTGCATTGTTTGAGTGTGATTCTGCACTTTGTGTCTCACATGTTCAGACTGATGTTTCAGGGTGTAACTTACGCTATAGTCTGCCTCTGACCCCCCCCCCCTCCGTTTCCCTCTACATTACTTATGATTGTTTATGTGTAAGTGCACAAGTGCTCAGCCGGGTCACATGACCACAGAAAGATGCTAGTTGTTTATAGCATGTCTGGTTATGTAGCGTTACAGCTGCGTCCCAGTCTGGGGTGTCCCGTGGGGGGGGGGGGGTGTTGTCGGGGCAAGTCCTTGAAGGCTGTTAATTGACCCCAGGATCCCTAGAGATCTGTAGGTAGACATGATGAGTGTTGGTTGAAAAAAAAAAAAAAACATCCGGGCAGCTTCCTTTGTCAAAACAATGATATCATGTTTACAGGAAGCCGACGGTTCCTTCCCCCCGTCCCTGCGGCAGAAAATAGACAGAACGGCGAGAAACTGAGGTGCTGACTGCTCATCCTCGAGTGCATTGTCCTCCCCGCTATTTTTAACCTTTTGCTGCCAGTTTGTGTGTGTGTGTGTGTGTGTGTGTGTGTTTTAAAATGTCCCTTTAACCTTTCACCGCCAGCCTCATTGCAGTCCATTTAAATTTAGCGGCATGTGCTAAAAATGGCCTGGGAACCTTTTGGGGGATTTTTTTGTGTCTGTTTCTCTCGGGCCCCCATCTAGAGGAGCGTCCCCTGGCCCGGGGGGGGTGGGACTGCTGCCGTTTCTCATGAGAACACGGTGTTGGCTTGCGTTAGGGTGGCTGGGGTGGTCTGAGGTGCCGGCAGCATGCGCCTGTGCAGCATGCGCCCGTGCAGCACGCATGCGAGGCTGCGCTGAGGGTTCCCGGAGTCTCTAACTCCCCCTCCCCCAATCCTCTGTGTCCCAGTGACTAACTGATTCAGCGCACCGGGTGACATCGTAACAGCCAGTGGTGTTCACACTTCAGGCACGAAAACAGCCTCATGCGCCGTTTTAATGCGACTGCACAAGTCAAATGCAATAAACGCCATTTATTCGGGTTGTCATTTGAGACAGCTTCTTAATGCTGTTACATGTTGGTCCTGCGTCTCCGCTCAGGTTTTGAAGGACGCGCAGGAGAGAAATGCAGGTTCCGCGGCCTGCAGGACCTGTCTCTGTAAGAGGCCCCACCCCCCCTCGAACTCCCAGAGCCCGCACACACCCCTTTGTCAGTTACCTGGGCAACAGGTAATGGATCTGCCACTCAGAATCCCCCCCCCACCCTGGCAGCTGCTCCGTGCACTCAGAGCACATGGCAGTGGTGGTGTGGGGGGGGGGGGTCACGGCAGTACACAACGCCACGGGAAACGGCGGCAAGAGGGCCAAGGAGCTTCAAGCCCTCCTTGGGGGGGCCTTTAGAGAGAGAGCGAGCCGGGGTCCGTATGAATGTGCGGGGGGGTGAGGACCAGGGCAGGTGTAATGTGAGCCCCCCCAGCCGCCGGCTCGTTACCTTGAAGTGAGTGACCTCAGTCATGCTATAAACACAGGTCATACTGAAGACACTGAAGGGGGGGGGGGTCTGTCTCTTTGAGGGAGGAGAGAAACAGACGGACCGGGGGGCCGGGGGTGGTGGTGAGGGGGGGCACGGGCCCCTTTCTTCTTCACACTGAGGACAGGAGTGGGAAGAGAGGGGCTTTGTAACTGCCGACTCCTCGCCTTTGATTCGGGTCCTTTGAGACGGGGCCTCTGCTCGAGCTGCCCCTGTGAAAGCCCGAGCGGAACCGGGAATGCCGTGGGGTCCGTTCCTGCTCGGATCCTCTGCCCGTTTGGATCCGCTGCCAGTCTGGAACCGCTGCTTTTTAAAAGCACCTTCCATGCATATTTATTCTCTTTATGAAGGAAAAATGAGTTTGACAAAATGTCTGTCAGTGTTTCGTATTTGAGTAATTGTTACGCAATTTATTACAGACCTGACGGGACATTTAACCCCGAGCGGGGAGGTAAGCGTCCATCCTTTCAGCCTCCACGTGGGGCGTGTGGCCTCCCAGCAGGCTGGCTCCGCCCCCGCGGCCCCCACGGCCCCCACGGCCCCCACGGCCCCGCGTGAGGGGAAACCCAGCTTCGCGGTCATCGTGGGAGACGGATGACCTTCCGCTGGCCGCTTTTCCTGAAAAGCAGCCACTGCTGTTTTTTACCCAGAACCTACAAATATGACTTAAATGCTTTTTCAATGTTGTTCAGTTACATGCTTTTTCTGAGGTGATTTTTATAAAATGCCTCAGGGTGAAATGAGTGTGTGGTTTCTACCCGGCGCTGAAGATGATCGCAAAAAGGGTTTGGGTCCCTGTTTTATTTTCTGACAGTTTCGTAAGCAATACTAAAGTCCCACAGTGTGTGGGTGGGGGGGGGGGGGATGCTGACACA